GGGTGCATTAGCAGCTGTACTTTAGCAAAACTGCTTTAAATCTTGACAGTTTAACAGTTAAAACACTCTAGAAGATAAGGACTGGACAATCAAACTCTAAAAAACAAAGAATTTGACAAATAACTTCACAAAATTAAACCGTTTCCTTCTAGAGAATTTAGACAACCTGCTTCTACAATCTGAGAAACAATCTACATTTAGTAGATAAAGACCGGACAATCAATCACAGAAGATAAAGACCGGACAATCAATCACAGAAGATAAAGCTTAGAGAATCAACCCCCAAAAAAAGGGTCAGAATGAGAGTGCTCTAAGGTAGGGACTAGAAAGCCGTGCATACTTTCAACTTAGAACAGAGAGAAGAGTGACAGAACAACTTACAGTAATTTCAACAAGGGAAACAAATCGGGGCAGCCTTTAAACATATTGTGAATAATCAAACAAGAACCAGAATGAACTTAAATCTACTCTAAATGAAAACTACATGGAAATACATTTCAGAGACAAAGAAAAACACTGGCAAGAATCTCCAGAAAAGATGTACAAATGTCTCTATAGCTGAAGAACTAATGCAGCAAAGTTGGGTACATAAATACAACCACATCAGCCCAATATCCCAGACAGACTAATGGGACAAGAATGCAAACATTACATACCACAAAGAAAGATATATCCCCAATATACAAACATAACTAACCTGCAGTTTACAAATTACACTTTTAGTCCCAAATAATGCACCCAATGTAAATAGCTATAGTTATATCTTTTAAGTCTGGTCTAAAACCACTAAAGAAATCTGGCTAGATATTTTACATGCAGCACTGGGTAAGCTACTTCTTTCAAAGTAACATTTATTATGTTTCTAATTACGATGATTGCTCCTTTTGGACATTTGATCTTGCTAAATGTTTAAACAGAAGTACAGGATTAATTTCTACACCTTTAGGCATTCAGGGTATATGGTGTAGCTACAGATTTGTTTAGACCATTTAGAACTTGTTGGACCATGTGGTCAATGCTGTGCTGATGTCGATCTCCCAGAACACTTGCTGGGAGCAATGCCAGGTTGAACTAACCTGGGAGCCAAGATCAAATCAAACCCCAACATGCAACACTTTATTGGTCACCATGGCCTGGAGAACCATATGGGCAGTGAAATGGGAAAACAGAGCAACTGAGGAAATGAGTATGTTCAAGAGACCCGAAGGTAAACAATAATGACAGAAGCCCAAAGTGCTGGGCTAGATTCCATTCATGATACTGAAGAAAAGTGCTGGGCTAGATTCCATTCATGATACTGAAGAAAAGTGCTGGGCTAGATTCCATTCATGATACTGAAGAAAAGTGCTGGGCTAGATTCCATTCATGATACTGAAGAAAAGTGCTGGGCTAGATTCCATTCATGATACTGAAGAAAAGTGCTGGGCTAGATTCCATTCATGATACTGAAAAGTGCTTGGCTAGATTCCATTCATGATACTGAAGAAAAGTGCTGGGCTAGATTCCATTCACAATACTGAAGAAAAGTGCTGGGCTAGATTCCATTCACAATACTGAAGAAAAGTGCTGGGCTAGATTCCATTCATGACACTGTAGAAAAGTGCTGGGCTAGATTCCATTCATGATACTGAAGAAAAGTGCTGGGTTAGATTCCATTCATGATACTGAAGAAAAGTGCTGGGCTAGATTCCATTCACAATACTGAAGAAAAGTGCTGGGCTAGATTCCATTCATGACACTGTAGAAAAGTGCTGGGCTAAATTCCATTCATGATACTGAAGAAAAGTGCTGGGCTAGATTCCATTCATGATACTGAAGAAAAGTGCTGGGCTAGATTCCCTTCATGATACTGAAGAAAAGTGCTGGGCTAGATTCCATTCATGATACTGAAGAAAAGTGCTGGGCTAGATTCCATTCATGATACTGAAGAAAAGTGCTGGGCTAGATTCCATTCATGACACTGAAGAAAAGTGCTGGGCTAGATTCCATTCATGATACTGAAGAAAAGTGCTGGGCTAGATTCCATTCATGACACTGAAGAAAAGTGCTGGGCTAGATTCCATTCATGATACTGAAGAAAAGTGCTGGGTTAGATTCCATTCATGATACTGAAGAAAAGTGCTTGGCTAGATTCCATTCATGATACTGAAGAAAAGTGCTGGGCTAGATTCCATTCATGATACTGAAGAAAAGTGCTGGGCTAGATTCCATTCATGATACTGAAAAGTGCTTGGCTAGATTCCATTCATGATACTGAAAAGTGCTGGGCTAGATTCCATTCACAATACTGAAGAAAAGTGCTGGGCTAGATTCCATTCACAATACTGAAGAAAAGTGCTGGGCTAGATTCCATTCATGACACTGTAGAAAAGTGCTGGGCTAGATTCCATTCATGATACTGAAGAAAAGTGCTGGGTTAGATTCCATTCATGATACTGAAGAAAAGTGCTGGGCTAGATTCCATTCACAATACTGAAGAAAAGTGCTGGGCTAGATTCCATTCATGACACTGTAGAAAAGTGCTGGGCTAGATTCCATTCATGATACTGAAGAAAAGTGCTGGGCTAGATTCCATTCATGATACTGAAGAAAAGTGCTGGGCTAGATTCCCTTCATGATACTGAAGAAAAGTGCTGGGCTAGATTCCATTCATGATACTGAAGAAAAGTGCTGGGCTAGATTCCATTCATGACACTGAAGAAAAGTGCTGGGCTAGATTCCATTCATGATACTTAAGAAAAGTGCTGGGCTAGATTCCATTCATGACACTGAAGAAAAGTGCTGGGCTAGATTCCATTCATGATACTGAAGAAAAGTGCTGGGTTAGATTCCATTCATGATACTGAAGAAAAGTGCTTGGCTAGATTCTATTCATGACACTGAAGCGAGTGCACAGGGTAGAATGGAATGGAGAAATAAACGGAGAGCCTGGGGTGACATAATGAAACGACAGGACAAAGAATGAATGAATGGGCTAGAGCAGGCTATTCAACTGGCGACCTCTAGCACGTGGCCCACGGATCATTGCCATTTGTATTGTATTAAGGAGTTTTGTACGATGGGGCTCCAACCTCAGGTCCGTGATGATCGTCGTTTTTAAAAATTTTGGCTCCTGAAAAACTGTTGAATAGCCCTGGTCTACAGAGAGAACATTGCCGCAGGATGTGATCAGGGGATCTGGCTGACACTATAAGGAAAAGCCAGATGGGCATACAATCGTATTGCTACTGGTACCATCAGAATTGGAACTCTGTGTTGGCTGCTGAAGATGGGGACAGAGTGCATATGGGAATGTCCAGGTTTTTTTTGTCAGTTCTGAACTCAGTTCGATGAGGATATGAACTTATGACAACCAGATAAGCAGGCTAACCACTGCTAGTGACTACTGTGGCAGCCAGGAGGTAGGTAGGTAGTTGAACCCCACCAGGACATCACACAAGCGATAAACACCCGATCATACGAGGTGCCACCAAGCGAATGAGGATCACCCATGGAGAGGTCCCAGAAACCCCTTTTAGCTGTTAGACCATATCTATGCCCCGGCTATATTCAAAGCCCCAGCAGAAGTCAGGGTGGGGTTTCAAATTTAACAAAATTGCATCCCACATAGGGACGAGTTTTGATATAAGGCAGCCAGGAGTGAAAGGGTTACATTTATTCCTTGAAGCAGCAAACCATTCATGATTTATTCCCTCGTGTGTTTGTTTTCACGCTGAAGAAATAAAAAAGAAATCTGCATGTTTGTTAACCGGGACCCATCTTGGAAAGAAAAGAGAAAAAAAAAACCACAAGCATCTACTAAAAAGTAACTAATGAAGTGTGTTCTGATATTGGATGTATTGGGCGGAAAGGTGGAGATATTGTAGCCTAGCGGTAAACGACAACACAATGTACTGACATCACTTTTAAAGGTGAAAGCAGAATAAGAAGACAGAAATATAACAGTTGTAACCTGAGATTTTTCTACTAAAGTATGAGATTTCAGAATGCCGGTTTATCTGTACTTGAACCACGTAACATATAAGTTTACTCACATTTGCAACTTTTTTATGTCCTACAAAAAATTTCTTCCTCAAATCTTTAAATGTCAGTTTGCTGTGTGTGTGAAATCCTAAAATCTAAGCTAATATGACGAGTAGAATCATGAAATTTTGTATGCATACTCCATAAACAATATTATAGGGACTGGTCTATCTAAAAGTATGATGCTTTTCCATTTCCTTCCAGCTTTTTTCAATTGTTGACTGACAACATCATGCATTAAGTGTTGCAACAGTTACAAAACACTCATAATGTGAAAAGAGGTAATTCATTCCACTGTCACGAGAAGATAAACACTGCCTATGTGTACCGTTTTTGCAGTGTAGGCAGCAGCAGGGGGCGGGTGTCTCCAAGCATGGGGACTTAGCGTAGTAACCACATCCCCTTCCCCCCTTTGAATTTTACTCACATATAATTCAAATCAGCTTTTTATAAGCAAACCAGTCTTCCTTGCCCCCCCCCTCCCCTAAAAATGGGCACGGAGAAATATCCAGGATAAAGTGGAAATGGAAGCGGTCAGCATTTTGGAAATATTCACTTCTTCCGCAATCAGCTTTAAAAAGGCAGCTGACACATTGCAGTTTAAAGCTAGGCTGCGATACGTATGTCTTCTGGCTCAACACATTAATTTCAGACATTTATGACACACTAGAAGGCCATGGGCCTATTTGAAGCCTCCTCCCACCCCCCTGCCCCCCTTTTAAACTGGGCCGCTGAATCATGAAGATAAACATTCACTGCGTGGAACATCAAGAACCGAACCCAAATAATACATGTGAAGTTTACCCGCACTGCATAACCAACAGTAAACTAAATTTTTTCTCACATGAACTTTTGGTAATATTTCTTTTGGTGAATGAGAACAACAGTTCATCATGGTTATAACAGCGGTTGATGTTTTGTTTTTAATAAATACCATAACCCAGATTTCTGATGATTAACACTAACAGAAAAATTAACTAAGCCATAAAGATCACAAATATGATGAAGAAGACCATCAAGACACCAAAAATCTTGATCATCAGCCATCGGTTGGAGGTCACAGACTGAAAGTACTTCAGAATCTCAGTGTGTGCTGCTTCTATGTTCTCGCTGGCTTCCTCTACATTGGTATCAATCCTAGATGAAGTACACACACAAGTATTACAATACAGGCAGAAAAATGATACTGGTTACTTATTTAGGAATTAACATCATAGCACTCCAAGCTTACTCACAGATACTCAGTCTCCATCGGCAAATGTCTTAAGGGGTCACTACACGGCATTTGTTTCCAATTTATGACAAAAATATCACTTTTTCAATGTATTTATTTTTGTAATGTTCGGCATTCGTAGAATAGATTACACACAAAATTTGTGTCATTGGTAAACAGTTTAGCATTGAAAAGTTAATACTAAAGACACCAACCCATGCACTTTTTTAAGTAAAAAAAATTTTAAAAGTCACTTTTCTAACAATTCTATTTTTCTGTTTGTTGTGTGTGGGATCTCTTAAAATCTCAGCTAATATAAAGACTTGAGATGTGAAATTTGGTGTAGATACTCCTAACACAATATTATAAGGTCAGGTCTATTTGAAATAACAGTTTATTAAGTCATTTATTTTTTTTAATTTGATTATTAAATGAAAAAGCTACATTTTTGTATTTTTTTAACATACCAAAATTTTAATATTCTAAAATAAATATTTAAAAACATCTTTGAAGTAAATAAACTAGACCTGACCCTAAACATAAGTTTAGAGTTCATGAATCAATCATCTGTTTCTCAATACCTCTGTCTGTTTTTGAGATTTTAGCTAAGTACATGTTTTTTTTCCCATCAAGATGGCGACTGTTGCCATGGCAACCATGTTTTTTTTTTAAACTTGAAGTCTACAAATGTATCAACATACATCCCTACAAATGACCATTATAAAATAATTGGTCTAACATTGTAAGTAAAAAAAATTTTTTTTTTCCCTGTAGTGACCTCTTAAGGTGTGGCGCTTACCAAGCAACTACCACAAGCATGAGCATGGAGATGACCACTGCTTCCAGAACACCAACATGGGCAGCAGACGAAGTGGCCACACATGCGGTAATCAAATCAAGACTCCATGAACATGCTTCAGAAAATCGCAACAGGTAGTATATGCTCTAAATGGGCACAAAGCAATCAAAATTTGTAGTTAACCTCTTTTATCTGGTTAATTACACCTGGTTATGCCAGTGTAAAAGGTAACAAACAAGCAGACCAACTGGCAAGAAATGCACCAACAAACGTGAAGAAGCATGGACAGAGCAGATATCACCACCAATGTAGGGACTAGGCTGGGGGATAACAGCAAATCTCTGACACTAACATGACTGTGTGACACCGGGAAGCTCCACATAGGAACAATTAGTAAAGGTAGATTAGAGTGGCTGCTGCATCAGAGGACTGAGCATGCAAGAGAATGCAGGGATGTCAATTGTGATAACACAACACTACATCTCAAGGTGAAGATACAGACTGTTCCAGCAGCACACTGGTGTTACACATGAAACTGTTCCAACAGCACACTGGTGTTACACATGAAACTGTTCCAACAGCACACTGGTGTTACACATGAAACTGTTCCAACAGCACACTGGTGTTACACAAGAAACTGTTCCAACAGCACACTGGTGTTACACATGAAACTGTTCCAGCAGCACACTGGTGTTACACATGAAACTGTTCCAGCAGCACACTGGTGTTACACATGAAACTGTTCCAACAGCACACTGGTGTTACACAAGAAACTGTTCCAACAGCACACTGGTGTTACACATGAAACTGTTCCAACAGCACACTGGTGTTACACATGTGGTACTCTCATACATAATTTTTTGCTAGACCCATATTTCTTTCAAATTAAACTGTAAATACTTCTTTCTGATATCATGATCAATGTCACTGCACACTGGGCATTCTCAGGCATGGTTAATCCACCTCTGCAGCAGCCATTCTTAAGTCTTATAGCTCCTATAATAAGGTAACTGAAATATTTTCTCTCTCGATCTTCAACCTAGCACTGAAATGATTGGACAGGCTTCACTCCAAGGTCATCCAGCAACATCCGACTCATCAGCCAAATCTGACTGCACTAACTTTAACTGCCTGGATGTGGCGAAGGCTCCTAGAATCAAATGGATAGTGCAATAGTACAGACAATCTTTACAATGAAAGACTACTTCAACGGTGGTTGAGCAGAGGTTTTGGAAGATATTCACAACTGAGGGGAAACAAAGGGGAGACTTTAAATCAGGTTGGGACTGTTGCTATTGGAGTATTGACTCAAGAAGGAGACATAGAGCATGTGTGAGAATGTCCCAAGTGCAGTGATTCATGCCTTCTTAACAGCCATCAAAATGCAGTAATTACAATCTTCCCCTTCTTATTGTGACTGCTCCTGTGAGGAATAGTGTGTCAAGTGAAACTTCATTAGTGCAGCCATTTTTGTTTGTTGTTTCTCTGCAGAGATGTAGTTTTTGAGAACAATTCAAAGAACATCATGGAGTGATTGAAAAATAAAGGAAGCAGTCCTCAACAAGAAAGAGGAAAGTTGTGAATTTACGAGAACAATCAGGGGTAGACCATCTGTGTTTTTTGGACATGTTATGAGGAGGAATGGACTCAAGAACTTGGTTAACAACGGTCAAGACTGATGGAAAGACAGCAACAGGAAGTCACTGATGGGGTGAGACAAGAAAACTGAGCTGATCTGTTTCGGGCTGATTAAACACAACGGCCTCCATAGCTCATGATGATGATGATTTTCTCTGTGCTTTCTTACACTTGGAGTTCAGCGCTGGTCCAGTCGGCTAGTATTGATTTTCTTCACTCCCTTGATAACCAAGCACTCTAACATCTATGCCACTGATTGTCCCACAAGCCCTGGTGATTTTTTTCTCAACACAACATCAAACATACCTTCCGACAATCTCCTCCTGCTCTTTCACCATATGAGCCAACTGCTGAAAGATGGTTCCCAGTTCAACGATGGTGGTCTCAATATTCTGCATCGTCTCTGCTCGGCTCTGAATGTAGGCATCCTGAGACAGGAAATCATTCACAGGTTACCGACAATAAAACAACCGCTTCTATTTTATACAATTTATCTGCAATTTGGTAGTTTTATTTTACACTACCTCGTTCCCCAAGAAAGAAAACCTACCCCAAAAATAAGCCATACAACGATTGCCATGATATTTTTTATATAAGCCATGGCCCAAAAATTAAGCCCAAGTTAAAGAGCTGTTGCCCAATTGGCAGTCAGAGTCCAACCGCCACCGGTGCGCACATGATATAAAAGGATGTGGTTCACAATTCAAGGTGTGTCACTTGTACGAAATAAAAAAGCTGAATTCTGGATCCAGGAACAAAAAAAATTAGAATTTTGTACATGAATAAATATTGATTTTTGTATCTGGAAAAAAAAAAAAAAAAAAAAACTTGGGAGGGGGGAGGAGAATTAATATAATACCCTGCTTATTTTCGGAGAAAGATTGCATCTCAGGTGCTTGGTATTTTAGACAACCATTTTTACGTTTGGTATTTGATACCATCCCTCCAGTTTAAAAAAAAAAGTTAGTTGTGTATCCTTTACAGGACATTGAAGAACCAACCCCAGCATTAGTTTGGCTGTTGTGGTTTTTCTAGGCAAATTTACATCCAGTATTTTGATCTCTCCAGCCTGCGGTAGTTGAGACCACTTCTCTTTGATGTGGTATTTTGTCTAGAAAGATGAAAAGGTGCCAACAACAATGTGTGCATTTAGGGAACTAAGAAACATATCTAACTAAACTGCAACAGGGTTAAATCGATGACTACACCCTTCATGACAGCAAGCAAGAACAATACCTGTTCATCAATAATCTGCATCTGATTCTGCACCTGTCCTCTTGATGAAGCTCCCATGTCGATGGTGACCTCTCCATTACCTGCGTGATTTGCTTCATCTTGTAAGAGCACTGAGCCATCTGAACAATTACAAAATTGTCACACATTGAGTGTCACAGAAAAAGAACAGAAACAAATAACTAATAAATTACAATTTTAACTGTAGAGCAGAGGAAAGCCTCATTCAGGAGGCTGAACCATACATACCTTTAGTTAGCAAAACAGAGTTGGGGGAAAGATCAAGACATTAAAATAAAACTAGAAATTCCTGCAGGTTAATAGGATTGAAAGTCTTCAAGGAGCACAACAAAGAGGACAGCAGCCTTATCCTAGGAGGAAGAACTGCCGCCTGAAATGCTCTTTGGCAAGGCAGACCAGGCTCTTAGCCTTGGCTGGCAGCTGGTCTAGGAGGGAAGCTTCAACATGCAGACTGAGCACTGTTTTCCTGATCCAGCAGTACCGACATTTCCTTTAAGATTAAATAAGCAGACAGAGAGGCTGGTTATTCTGTAGAGGCAACATATGGTCTCTACAATTCTGCTCATGCTTTTTGCTTCAACCTTGGCCTTAGCTGGTATTGTTATGACCATTATTCCGATTCTCTCCTATAGCATAATGGAAAACAATAATCTAAAATGGTTGGTAAGTTGTGTATCCTTTACAGGACGTTGCAGAACCAACCCCAACAGCTCCTGGCTGTTGTGTGGTTTTTATAGGCAAATTTACGTCCAGTAGTTTGCCATTGCTTCCTGGACGGTCGGCTTTCTTGATACCACTGTCGAAACCAATGCAAGGCGCATGGCTCAAAGCTGGGATCGAACCCGGCATTACGAAGCGTTTGCATCGACTTAGCCACAGAGCCAAAAATCTAAAATGACTTTTTCTGTCGGGGGCAAAATTAAACACCCTAACATGCACAGTCCAAGGCGACAGCACTAGCCATGCGGCCCTAAATTCTCAGGCTCAAGACCCCACAGTCTACACCGACTTAAAAAGTGGTAAAACAGCAGTGACAGTTTCTTTTTTTTAAACTATTAGCATCAAACTATTAGCATCAAACTACTAGCATCAAACTACTAGCATCAAACTATTAGCATCAAACTATTAGCATCAAACTATTAGCATCAAACTATTAGCATCAAACTATTAGCATCAAACTATTAGCATCAAACTATTAGCATCAAACTATTAGCATCAAACTATTCTTCTTCTTCTTTTGTCAAAATCTGCTTGTGCCGCTAGGCGTCGCAGTCTATCAGATGATCGGCAACCGAGCCAGGGCGCGCTCAGTCGCTTCATATGCCGTGATGTTATGAAGTCTCAAGTTGTCCGTGACTCCTTCAATCCATCTTCTTCTTGGTCTTCCCCTGCCTCTTGTTGTTTCGACTTTCATGTTGTATGCTCTTGATGCTGGCATCGTTGGTTCCATTCTCATTAGGTGACCAAACCATTTCATTCTTTGCTTCTCAATAAATTTAACGATGGGTATGGTTCCAATAGTTCTTGTAATCACATCGTTTCTCACTCGATCTCTTCTGGTTTTATTCGCAGCCATTCTCAAACATCTCATTTCACAGGTGGTTAGTCTTCTCTCGTGTTCTTTTGTTAATGTCCAAGTCTGACATTGATAACCTAATGTCGGTATAAAGATTGTATTTATAATTTGTCTTTTTATCTCAGCTGGGACAGCAGGGTGTTTTAAAATTGGGGCAAGCTGGTATGCGACATTGTTGGCTTGTTGGATTCTTGCTTCGATCTCTCTGTCTATTTTACCATTGGATGTAAAGATACTTCCCAGGTATTTAAATTCTTGCACTTGTTTTAGGCTGTGATCTAGAATCTTTATGTCGATGGTCTGTTGCTCTCTACTTATGCTCATGACTTCTGTCTTTTCAGTATTGATCTTCATATGATGCTTGAGGCAACTGTCGTGTAGTAGGTTTATGTGGTCTTGCAGCTGTTTACTATCACTGTGAAATATGCATTGATCGTCGGCAAAGAGCAGCTCATTGAAGTCCTCCTGTTTATCGAATCAAACTATTAGCATCACTAATTTAAAGATAATCAACTTCAACAAGAGATATACTCACTCATATGGCCCTGATAAGCTGAAGGAGGCAAAGACGATGTTATAGGGGAGGAGGAAAACTGTTCTCTCCTTGACTTCTGATGTTTTAGATTCTACAACAGACAACAATACTTGTCAGCTTCAACCACAAGTAGAGTTCAAGCAAAAATAATCTATTCAAGTGGCTCACAAGCATATCCACACAATACATGTTTGCTTGAACTGTCATGATATTTGGCATGGATACTTATATCCACACAATACATGTTTGCTTGACTGTCATGATATTTAGCATGGATACTTATATCCACACAATAAATGAATGTCTGACCAGAATGGTTGTTGTTCTGTTCACCCTTAAAAAGCCAGTTAACAGGTTGTGTTGCGGTTACAGCCACACTGCAATATCTGCATCTTTTGGGCCAATACATACAGGCCAGCAAACCCTGAATGAATCACCATGTATAAAATGCTCGCTGGAGGTGGATGGGTGGGGGAAAACAGCGGGTATACCCCCACCCCTCCTAACTGTGGCCTTAAACACACACGGAAAGTATTAGTGTTCTCTACCTCCTACTGAGTTAACTAGTAACATGGCAAATGATGATGAACCCGAGGCATTCAGTGTCAAAGGTGTGACTGAATCTTTAAAACATTGCTTGTCCAACATTGAGCTCCTGTACACCCTGTAGTGATGGACAAATGTTGTTTTAGAGATTCAAACTTTTGAAACCGAATGCCTCGGTTCTACACCTTGTGTAGAAAAACACGATGGCCAAAACATTAACTTCCTCACTCCAGCTAAAACCTGCAGTGTCTTCCTCTGGCTCTTTTTCCACACATCTTTCCAGTGGTCACAACATGTTCCAGTCTCCTTCTTCTCATAACACCGACAAACAAGATGACTGTCTCTTTCTGATTTTTGTTATAAGCTGTCTTTGAGCCCTCACCTATTTCAAAATACCTGGATTGCTCTTTTTGGCTGTCCAAGGAATTTGAAGGAATTTTCCTGTAAAAAAACATTTCTGAGGCCTCAAGAAACTGTCTGGCTTTAACAATTTTTTAAAAATTATTATTAACTGTCCAGGAATCACAGCCATATATTAAAAGTGGCTCTATATAGTTTGTGAGAATTCTTTTCCTACCCTCCAATGACACCGATTTATTGCATAAAATATGTTCTGCATTTCAGAAAATGCAGTTTTAGCCTGTCCGATTCTGGGTTTTTTTTCCATGTGACACATCTGTAGCTTGTCACATTCTGATTTTTTCCATGTGACACATCTGTAGCTTGTCACATTCTGATTTTTTCCATGTGACACATCTGTAGCCTGTCCTATTCTGGTTTTTTCCATGTGACACATCTGTAGCCTGTCCTATTCTGGTTTTTTCCATGTGACATATCTGTAGCTTGTCACATTCTGGTTTTTTTTTTCCCTGTGACACATCTGTAGCTTGTCACATTCTGGTCTTTTCCATGTGACACATCTGTTAGATGTCATTCATGTCCCTAGATACTTACATGTCTGTACTTGTCACAACAATGCCACTCAATTTTGTTAGATTTTAGCATTGTTCTTTTTTTTTTTGATATCACCATTACTTCTGTTTTCCCATTATTCAAGCTCAGGCCCATTGTATCACTTTCTACAACAACCTATCTATAAAACCCTGCAGTTCTTTCTGACCAGTCTCTATCAAAGACCGTGTCATCAGCATAACGTAGGCTGTTTATGTTATGACCACTAAAAACAATTCCTGGCATATCCATGATAAGTCTCTTTATATTTATCATCATCATGATGTGTTGTGCCAGTGTGCTTAGGCTCATACAACCACCAGAACCATGGATTAGTTCAATGTGTTTGTCTCGCCCCATCCATCAGGCTAGGCCATCCAGTTATTTATCTCTTTGCCTTCCTTTCGCTCTCTTTCCATCAATCTGCCAGCTGTGCACCAAGTTATTGAGCCCGTTCCTTCTTGTAATATGTCTAAAAATTATTGACTGTCTTCATCTCACTGTTCTAAAAAGTTTATGACATTCATCTGTCTCGATGATGACTGCTTTGTTTGTTTTTCTATCCTTCCATGACACTCGTTGCATTCTTCTCAGAAACCCTATCTCTGCCATGAGTACATTTTTTCCCAACCACAATCTATATTTACTGCATAATGAAAACCAATCAGGTGATAGTACATATCCTTTTCGTGCGCCCCTCTTTATGCCCTGAAATGTTCTCAAATGGTTCGCTAAGGCAATAAGCTTCAAACAGTAAACATGCCAAAAATACTTACCTCAGTTCTGACTTCCAGCACCTGTCTGAAGTCATTTGACATAGAGGCCAGTTTGGACTGCAATTATATTTGTAAAAGTTAACTTCTCTCTCCATTATATAAAGTGACAAGAGCTGTTAATTTTAAAGCAATTTTATGGCACCAAAAGCAATTTTTTGGCACCAAATAAAGGTTAAAAAATCCTCTTTTTTTTTCTTCTTCAAATGATTCCTTCTCTTTCAAGTGGAGCTGCCATGCCTAGTTGAGCTTCTCTAAAGCCCAAAGGTCAATCTATTCAGTACCAGCATGCATTTGTATCATATTCGATTTATATTCAGGGGTCAGTTTTCTATTCTATAAATGTTACAAGACTAGCAACCTTATGGTGCACTCTTTGCTGTAGGATTCTTAATGTTTCCCAAAAACTGCAAAATTCAATCACATAGCCACAAGGCCAGGTGGAACATGTGACATCATTAGAAATAAATGGTCTCTGTAAAATACTCAGCCTTATGTCTGTATTCAAACCCATTTCCTTTACTTCATACTACAGGTACCCTTCGCACAAACTTAGACACTTTATCTTCAAGGGTCACAAACTAATCATGCAGGCCTGTCGTAGATTTGGCCCACCCAAACATTCATCTTTCATACAGCAAATTTTTAAAAAATCTGCACAGCATGTTATGTTTGTTGGGGGGTCTCCGTGGCGAAGTGGTCAAGCCGTCTGCCTCATGCTCCGAAAGTCATGGGTTCATTCTACGGCCGCGCCCTTTAGGTCATGAGTGCAATTTTTATGGAGATCCCCGGGGATCTCTGCCAGAGCTGTGGAGTTGGTACTTACGCGGCGCTCTCGACAGGTGGCTAGCCGTTCTGTGGAGAGACCAAGCCATATGGGATAAAATCTGGTGCAGTGAAGTCAATCCTCTTGACTTTAACCTTTCACTTTATGGTTGTATAACAATATACATAATATAAACATAAAGTAAAATATACGAAGCATGTGCTTCTCTATAGTATATATAAGTAGGTAACCAAGATAAAGAAGTAGTAGTATGGGCAGGGGCATTCATGCAGGAATACATGGAACCATGGCATTACTAGACACCTTTATAAAATGGAAGTGAAAAGAATAGTCACAGTTAGAAAAACTGCTATCAATCATTTTTAAACTGAAATATCTCAATTCAGAAATAAACTGTCAAATTATAGAATGGCTAATTTTTCACATCGAGTATATAATAAAGGAAAGAATGCTTGAAATGGCAACAGCTGCGATCTCGCTGCTGAAAACAATGTGGAAGAGCGAAATTGTCACCGCAGTCAAGGTCAATATGTACAAATCACTGGTATTGTCTATTTTCTTATACGGATGTGAGAAATGGAAAGGAGGTTTCAGGCTTTCGAATGTAAATGTTACAGATGCATTTTACAAATTAGTTATTTAGAATACAAAATTAAAAAATATGTCAAAGACAAAATATACAAACTTTCAGGATATCAGGAGCCTCGCTTGGCAGTGGTGAAACGTCGCAAGCTAACTTGGTTAGGTGAATGTGGTGAATTATGATTTGATTACAAAGACTGTACTTCAAGAAACATTGGGGGATAGTTGAAGAAGACAAAGACTGTACTTCAAGAAAGGAGGGGGGGTATTGGGAAGAGGAGGGGGTAGAAGAGAAGAGGAGGGGGGCAGTCGAAGAAGAAGGGGTACAACTCCCAAGAGACTCACCTGCAGAGTAACCACAACTGTGTTGGAATGTGTCTGCATGTGTTTGCCATTGTTTGCTTTCTGAGATTTAGCCAGCTGTGAATTTAGATAAATCACATCGTTAAACAATAATCACACACAGTATGATGTGAATAACACAAGAGGTGAATATCAAAGATGTCATTAAAGGGCTTGACACAAATAATTAATTTTAACACAAAAAATCAAAGCATTACCGTATTTACTCATGTATAGGCCGCACCCAGTTTCTGAGACCACAATTTTATGAACAAATTATTTTCTTAAAATTCGGCTGAGACCAAAACTGAAACAGCTTGTAAAATGTGTAAGATGGGAATTTCTTAGGGAGAATTTACAGCCAGGTTAAGGGCTTATGACATGAAATGATCTCGTGATTCAGCAGTGGACAACAACGGCGCAACTTCCCGACACCCAATTGGAGAATGCTGTGTTTCAAAGACATCTTGTGAGGTTACAGAAGACACACAACTACAGAATGGGAGCAACTTCCATATTCTTCTATATGTGTACGTGCAAACTTCAGAAGCAGAAAAACAGCAGTGTATTGTTATGACAGGTATCATTGCTGACAGATATAAACTCCCATCTTACGTCATTTTAAAACGTAAATCCATGCCAAAGATGAAGCTACCGCCCTGAAAGTTGGTAAGAGTGCAAGGGAAAGGGTGGACGACTGAAGAACTGTTGTCCTGTTTATTCATAAATTCTGTACAAATAACATGTAGGCCTGTTATCTCACATATAAGCTGCACCCAATTTTTTCATCAACGATTTTCAGATTAAAATACTGCAGCCTATACACGCATAAATACGGTATATTACTTTGTAAATATGAACAAAAAGACACAAACAACAGAAGTGGCCACAATTAATTGCTTCTGTCCATATTTGTGCAGACAAAAAGACATGGCTATAAAGCTGTGTTTGCCTTGGAAAAAATGGGAAGTTACTTTACGGAGTAGTTGATTTTGTATTCTGTTTGAAGAATTATTTATTTATTTCACTGTATTCAGCTGTACTATAGAATGCGGGGGGGTGGGGGGGGGGGGGGGGGGGAGAGAGAGAAGAAAAAACCCAGTGAAATGTGCCAGGCAATATACTTTGCAGTTTTCTTCCTTTAAATTGATTTTCATAACAAAATAAACTCAAATAAACGATTTCAGAAGTCAAATCTGCATTCATTTACTTGTTGCTACAATTTTGTAGCAATGATTTATTTTGTAAAAACATAAAATCAGAGTGCTAAATGCTAAAAGCATTTTTAACACTAAGGGTCTCACTCCCATGGTATACCAAAGTTCACTCAATCGGGCTTGATATTTTACCATATTTACAACTGAGCATATACTTTTTTTAAGTCAACCTTTCTCAACTAAGTGAAATATTTTACCATAGTTCCTAACCTTGGCCAAATGTTTTATGTAGTTCACTTAACTGTACAAAATATTTTACTAAAGTTAGGACAATCGGGATTTTTAAAATTTTTTTTTAATTTTACAGTAAAGAAAAACTAAACTTTAAAATCAACTGATGAAAATAGAAGACTGAAGGCACAATGACTGCTAAAATTCTGAAGACACGATGGAAGTGGTGAGAGAGCTACCTGCTGCAACTGTGCTATCTGCTCGTTGAGGCTGTTGATATCCTGTTTGATGATGTAGGTCAACTCTTGGATCTCCACCGGCTTGTCGTCGAATAAGGCTTTCCTTTTGGCCACTGGAATTGCACGTTAACCCATGTATTGAGGAAAATATATATGGTAACAATATAAAATATGAAATTTTCATAGTTTGCTTGCAAACAAAATAAAAAAGATCACATGAGAAATGAAAAGATTAGAAGAAGAACTATTGGAACAATATCCAGAGCTGAGTTTACTAAGACAAAAATTGAAATGGTTGGGCTTCTAGTAAGAACAAATCTGATGATGTTGGCTGCAAGAACATACAACATAAGATTGGAAATGCCAAGGATCAGAAGGATACCTAGAAAAAGATGGACTGAAGGTGTCACTGATAGCTTCAGATTTTAAAGCATACTAAGCAAGCCCTGCTCAGTGATCTATTTTCTCTTAAACTACGACACTTAGCGGCACAAGTCAGATACTGACAAAGAAAGAATTATCTGATTTTCATAGGTTTACTATATCTATGCTGTGTTTGCCCTTCAAAACAAATTCGGACTGCTGAGTTGTGGTTTACAGCCAAGCTGTAACACATGCACTTGTAGGCCTGTCACAACCAATTTTTACCTGTTAAAGGGGCAGTGTGTCTATTATCTACTCCTCCACAAAAATGGGGTCTAAAACCAACAATGAGGAGGTATACAATTCAATACACAAATTATAAATCTCCATGTGTATTTCTGTAGATTTTACCCTGTAACATCACAATTCTTTGTCACTTTGTCACTGCCTTGACCCTGTGATTTCTATAATTGTGTGTCATGTTAAAGAAGTAGATCCGGTTAAACGGGGTAAAATGCACAGTGCACCACATTAAGAAAAACCCACTGTATGCACACATCACATGTTCACTGTAATTATGAGGAGCTTGTTTAGATGTCCTGAGGCTGTTACCCTATAGTCTGTCTGGACAAAGACTTCGGCAGTCTCTTGTAAAGGCCTTTTTTCATGCCTGCCAGACATCCAATCAGGGATTTGATGGCTTATGTGGTGAACATCACACTGGCTGCCTTTACTTTCTATGACAATGCCTGGTACCTATTTTAGGCCGGGTTAACCTGGGAGCAAAGTCAATCTTGAAAAAGAAAAAATCTGCCTTGATGCAGATTTGTACTTCTAACCGCCCGTTAATAGGTATAAATTAGAAATAATGAAGTGTCTGTGTGTATGTGTGCTTTAAAAAAAATTTTTTTTATTAAAAATTGGTGGTTTTCCACAACATAGATTAAAATTCAGAAATGTTTACATGTGAGTGTTATTTACTGCTTTCTACAATTTTCATACATGTTTTAACAACTATACTTACAAATTGTCAATTTTTCCAATTTGGCAAATGTGTTTGCTAGATCTTTACCAATACGCCTGAAAAAAAAAACATAAAGGAACAGATGTTAAAATAAAATTATTGCAAAAGCAATGAACACGAGAGAACAATTTGTCATTACATAAAAGTAACTGATAGGGATCGTGCCTTTCATGTTGATAAAACACACACACTAAAACCGGAGGAAGCTGTGACAATTAAAATAAACAATTTCATGTCATGTAAACAAACAGATCACACGCTAAATGTCAAAAGTTTTACTGTAATCACATGGATATAGTGAATTTGTTATCATGAGGTAAAATGTATCTAAAGAAGACAATGTGACTGATCTATTAACAATAAGTCTAGCATTGTAAGCCCACTGAAGCACTGGTGTACAAAGGGACAGCACTGGTGTACAAAGGGGCAGCACTGGTGTACAAAGGGGCAGCACTGGTGTACAAAGGGGCAGCACCGATGTACAAAGGGGCAGCACCGGTGTACAAAGGGCCCTGTACTCGACTTCTGCATACTCTGATTCTTGGATGGGCCCAGCATTTATAACAATGAGTAACATCATTTTGACAATTTGTTGGTTAGAAATCTCTCACATCCAGAGGAGAAGCAAACAGAGAATTACAAAACAAGCACTTGAATAGGAAACAAACTGACTGAAGAAATGAGGACATGCAACAGAAACTTTAAGACAGATGTTGTTGACAGAGGCTAAAGAATCTCAACTATTCCATCCATGCATGGGATAGAATGGAAGAATAAATGGCAAGCTCTATGTGACCTTTAACAATACAACAGGATCATGAAGAGGGTCAAGGACAGTGACCAGGGCAAGGTGATAATTTCACCTCATCATGCTGTAATTTCATAATGGCAAAGAAACATTTCATACTTTTAAAATAATATCTGCAGGAATAATTTGTTTTTTTTTAAATCACTGGCAGTGGCGGTTCTGCAGCAATTCATTATTTTAAAAAGCCACACACTTTCTCACTGGGTAACTTAAGTAAGGGACTCTTCAAACCTTGGGGGTTTTCATAGCTAAGCTGCTAGCTCAAAATTGTTTGGATCCATCGGCACTCAAATCCACCTCTACTTCCCTCGACAATTCAGGTAACAATTTAAGGCTGGGTCTACTTTCTGTGCCTGGGCAGGTTTTTAAAATCCATTTAATATAATCTTTAAACTCAGGTGCAATGGGCCAACAGGCAAGCCAATCCTAACTCACTGATCCTTTCACAGGTCATTTGTGACTTACTTTGCAATCTGTGTAAACTCGCTGCGTACATGGAGGGCTCTGTTTCTGTTGTTCTGTATGACTCCATTACCCTAGAAGAAACCCAACATTTACAAGATCATTTGTTTTTTTTCAAGAGTGAGTGAACTGAGAGGGAGCGAGAGTGGAATAGAGAAAGAGAGAGACAGACAGACAAGGAAAAGGTAGGAAAGCCCGAGCATATAAGAGAAATGAAAAAAAAAAAAAAAAACAGTAGTAGTGAGAAGAGCAAAAAGTATAAATAAAGGTGTCAACAGGTGAGAGTGAGCCAGTGAGCGCACACAGGTGTGTCTGTTTCTCTCCCTCTGTGTTTGTGTGTGTGTGCACAGCAAGTGGAAGACTATGACAATACCAAGAACAGCTTTAAGGAAATGAAGACCAATGTATACAATGCACTGGAAACAGCATACAGAAGATCCCTATATATCCCCATTTAAGACTTTGGTGCAGTAACTGAAGGATGTGAAGAGGACACATTTAAAACAATTTGTCTGGTAATCTGTAATATTTATACATCTTAAGTAGTTACATTTTCACCTACACAGGAACTTTACAGACTCAGTGAGTGTACATAAATGTACATCAATGTAAAATGAACTTTACACTTGATGTGTGTATACAAATGTACGAATGAGCTTTTAAGATTCAATGTGTATATGAATGCAGAAATTAAACTTGAAACTTTATAGACTCAGTGTGTGTACAGAAATGAGCTTCACAGACTCAGTGTGTGTACATGAATGTACAAATGAACAACTTGTCAAAAATTCTTAAACTGGGTATGCAAGCTCATTTTACATGTTATGCTCATAACCAATATACATAAAAGTATAAAGTAAAAATAACAGAAGCGCACATTTGAGTGTGTGATATAAACAGAGTGCAATTTTAATATGTGTGAGCATTTGAGGTGGAAGGGGGAGGGGTGGGTGGGTTGAGAGACCCAAAACGAGGAGAGAGAGAGAGAAGAGAGAAGAGAGAGAGAGGATGCTCCTATCATTTTGTTATATATACACCAGTATACATCTAGATTATTGTGATATAAGATCAAAAACTATCCAATACCTGTCTAGACTGTAGAGATTTAACTACTGACAAAAACTCAGTGGATCTGTCACGGCAGGTCATATCTGGGTCAGTGAGATGTTGTGAGGAGACCGGTAGCAATGGTGGAGACTGCTGCCTAGTGCCGCTGTTGTAATACTGCTGGTGGTGATGCTGCTGACCAGTTGTTGGTAGATTTTGCTGCTGCTGCTGCTGACTGTCAGAGCCCGAATTAGTTCTTCTTCTGCGGGCTATCATTGATACAGTCTATGCCAGGACATCACTCAATATCAAGTTACTGATTATGAGACTGTTGGAGAAATAAGTATAATTATAATAGTCTTCAAAATGAACAATGCAAAATGAAATGAATGATGGAAAAACGAAATGAATGATGAAAAAGTAAATGAATGATGGAAAAACGAAATGAATGATGAAAAAGTAAATGAATGATGAAAAAACGAAATGAATGATGAAAAACAAAATGAAGGAAGAAAAACAAAAACAATGTACAACTAAATTGTTTGAAATCTGGCTATACAGACATGTGCCCTTTGTGGCTCTGAGCTAGGTGAATACACTGATTTCTACAAATATCCTTGATGTACTAAAAGTGGATTTCCGAGGTGGGCTGTTTATAAAAATAATGTTCTTATGGCTTTTGGAACCTCACTCCAAAGAAATAGTGAAAATCATAACTTATTTCTTAACACAGCAAAAACAAAGATAATGCATACAAACAAAACTGCCATGGAGAAGGAAATATATGTTAATGAGGAAAGATTGGAAGTGGTGGAAAATTTCGAATATCTTGGGTCACTGGTTACCAACAATGGTAACACAATGAAAGAAATTAAACGGCGACTATCAATTGCTCTTCAAAGACTAAAACAACTGAATAAATTATGGAATTGTACAGATAGAATTACAAAGGTCAGATTTTTAAGAGCATGCATCTTTCCCATTGCAACATACGCCTCAGACCTGGACACTTACTAAACAAGCGGAACAGCGCATAAATGCATTTGAATATAAATGTTACAGACAGGTTCTAAGAATATCTTGGTAACGAATGAAGAGGAAAAATGCATGAATACTTCAAGAGCTGAATATTGAAGAGGGTTGGCTAGTAAAGACAAAAAAAACAAAGAAAATTGAAATATTTTGGTCACTTGAAACGTCATGGAAGTCTGGAGAGAACAATAATGGAGGGGTATATGCCTGGAAAGAGAGGAAGAGGAAGGCCAAGGAGAAGATGGGTGCAGGATGTGGCAGATGATCTCCAGATGGGTGTATCAGACGCAGGACATCTTGCTCAGGATAGGAAGGTTTTCCGGAGGGTTGTTATGGCAGCGAGGTTCCGCGAGGGACATGCTACTGAATGAATGAATGAATGGCTTTTGGAAAGTGGTGTGAGAGCTGAGCTTCAGAAGAGACAGGGACTTCACCATGTAATTCCCCCAACACAACGGTGGATGCACATATCCCGAGCAGATACCTTCTCTTTCGTTTGACTTTGCACAAAGAAAAATATTAAGACAGGAGCAAAAGTAATTCCAAAACTGGGATCTGAGAAAATCCAGAAGTTTATACAGATGGCTTTGTGCTGACAGGTAGAATATGTACCTGAGGGTCCATAGTAAAAGGGACACTTGAAGCAGCAAAGTCTGGCATATGATCTGAGAAAATCTAGTTTGAGAATGGAGGTGGAGGCGGTAACTGCAGTTTTCTGCTGTCTTGCAAACAAGCTGCACACTATGTGATTTAAACTGACTCACAGAGCTGTATTATGATAGGTGTGCTCCATGCAAAGCTTCAAAGGTCCTCATAATTATTGTTCTTTGAATATTTTCTCCAGGTCTTGCGGGTGTGTTGAGAAATAAACAGGCAGACAGAGTGGCTTGTTCTGCACCGCTTTGTGGTAAAGTGATGCATGACAAGACAGACATTGTTGGGGCCCTTTGGAAGTAAATAAACAGCAGGGAAGCCAAAAGAGGTCAACATGGTCTAAAGATAATGGCACTGCTAGGAGTGGCCAGGAAACCTGGCCGACGCTCAACATGCAGGGGAGGGCCAAAACGGACTTATAATCAGACTGTTACTGGTACCATCATAAATGGAGTTGTGCACGTGCTGCTGAAGATGGGGATGCAATGCTATTATGTCAGTTCTCTGCTAACAAGAAAACATTACTCAGTAGTATTGTCTATACTGGTGTTGGCATCTTCTATGTCTATTGCTGCAGTAAATGTCTACATTACGGTAATTTATACACACAAGCAATAGTTCCTGCATTTCCCCATATGTTAATGCCTGGATTTATTTTTCTATTCTTCCACACCATACTCTGCTTTCTTTTCAAAAACAACATCTCCTCTGCTAGCAGATGTTTTTCAGCTTGTCTGGTTACTGTCCATGTCTCACAAACATTTAACAACACAGGTTTTACATAGCATTAAATGTGTGATATAATGGTGATTACTCAGTCGGGGCCTGTGTTCCAGCTAATTTTTAGGGCAGGTGTAATTTATGTAGTGATAACGATGAATCTCTCACCCTGAATGGCAGGTTTCTCACATGCTTAGAGGAATTTCTATCACCTCCCCCTCTACTCGGTGGGGGGTTCTGTGCATTTTTTCTAATGCACTGCATAAGCTGATCATTTCTTTAAGAGTGTTGTTGATGCTGTTATTTCATTCTCTGTGCCCTTTCACTTGCTCTGATGTCATTGCATTTCTTCAGTGTGGTTGCATACATACAAAATCGCTTGGCAGTTGGAAATTGTAAAGAGTAACCTAACGGCCTGCCCAGGCAAAATTTTGGAGTTACAAATCTATCCAAGGTATTTCAGGATCCTCGCATCTGCTACAGAGTTTATGCAATGCGCTGAGATTCTTCAGACTCAGGCTTGACTTAGAAGTAGACCAGAGCACTTATGGGTTACTACCCTTGTGCCGTATTGTTGGTACTATAAGAAATGTTGCTTGTTCAATTCAACAGAACTATTGGCTATCTTCCTAATAATGGTCCCAAATTATCGGGGAGAAAATATATCCTAACAGAGCCTCAGTCACATGTCAATTGCGCACTTCCGGGGACTAGACCGCCACTGCCGAATTGCATACTTCCGGGGGACTATACCCCCGAGAGTATCCCCCACGCCGCATGGATTGGGGCTAAACTAGATGGCTGGGACTCACAAGCAAATAAAATGAAGGCAGCTGCAGGAAATGGGGTAGCTGCTGCTCGTGAGTCCCAGCCATCTAGATTAACCCCAATCCACGCCGCGCGAGCGGCGTATGGGATACTCTCGGCGGTGGCACAAGTCGGTGGAAGTGCACAATTTACGTTGCCGGAAGTGCGCAATTGACCCGTTACTGAGGCTCTATTAGGGTATATTTTCTGCCTCGATAATTTGGGACCGTTATTTGGAAAATAGCTGAATTATTAGTTGGGACTGCCCTTGCTTGACTCTTCAAATTCTGCTTACAGGGGTAATATTCTTCAAGAAATCATTTAAATGTCCAAGCTAGAACTTTCAAACAAGTTTTTGATGATTCATTTAATGTTAATGAACTGTGGACTGTGGTTTCTAGTTTAACTAGCATCCCTAATTGAACTCTTTCTTACTTACATCTTTAAATACAGACCCTAGGGGACATAATCCATTATGTGTGCAAGTTCACATAATAATATTCTTGGCTCTACTGTCAAATTTGGCCGGTGAGCTGGACTGCTTCGGCCGGCTTAGCGGGGCTTAGTGGGAGTTATGTCCCTTGGCCAAACTCAAAACAACTCAAAACAAGTCGCGGAAAAAGTCACGAATCAAACGGCATACTTACCTATCATCATCCGGGTGCGTAGGGTGTCTATCATCGTCCTACGGTTGCGTGTAGGGCTGCTTATTGCGTGTAGGGTTGGTTTTTTGCGTAAGATAGATGAGGGGTAGGGTTAGGGGTTAGGGTTTAGGGGTAGGTGTAGCGTTAGATGTGACAATTGTGACGCTGTAGTTCCCTACAATCGCGCACAGTCGCATGCACGTGCAAACAGTCGACGGACGGTGGATGCTACTGACACGGACAATTCGCCACTGATTGGGGCACCAGCCGCCGCGCGCTATTGCCGTCATATTTGGCACACTTCAAGTGGCGCCACTCCTACAAGCATCAGATTGTCGGCCAGTATTTCGACCTCCTACGTGACTATTTTCACATCTAATCCTAACCCTACCCCTAACCCTCCCCCTACCGCTAACCCAAACCCTACGCAACCCTATGATGATGATGATAGACACCCTACGCATCCCTACACGCAACCGTATGATGATGATGATAGACACCCTACGCGCAACCGTATGATGATAGGTAACCCTAGACGCACCCGGATGATGATAGGTAAGTATGTCATTTGATTCGTGACTTTTTCTGAGTTTGGCGAAGGGACACGAAGGGACATAACTCCCACTAAGCCGGCCAAAGCAGTCCAGCTTACCGGCCAAATTTAACAGTAGAGCCATATTCTTTATTATTTTATACTGCTTGAGGCAGATTATTTAATACTGCCTAAGGCAGAGTTTAGGTCAGTCCTAACTGATACCCTAATCCCAACCATAACCCTAACCTAAAGCAATATTAAATATTACAGAACATTATTATGTGAACGTAAATAAACAATAGATTGTGTCCCTAATTAGAGTCGCAGTAAGCAAGAAATAACAAATGACTGTGTCCCTTAAGGATGCCGTTTTCAGTTTTGTCAAAATGTTTTATGCTGTAAATTACTTGAGTACTGCCTGCTGCTTGCAACTTAATAACTTCATTGGGATCTTAACCTGTTTAGTTAAGAATCAAGAATGTAGTATCTAAAAATAGTTGTTTAAACACTTGAACTAGCTTGTTTATCACAGTCAGTCAGATCAAAGATTCAAGACTACTAGTGACTAGCAGACTGTCACAGGCAAAAACAAAATTACACAAACAGAACAAAACGAGAACTTTCTTTGAACAATGTATCAATTTTACAACACATAACAATGAAATTTCAATATATTAATCCTTGGTGGTGTCTTCCTTCCACACATAAAATGATGACAGAAAAGAGAAAAGTCCCCAACAAATCGCCTTACTCCAGTCTGAACTGTTTATTCTGATACTGTTCCACGAATACAGGAAGCGGGCCCAGCCACTTCCGCTCATGCGCACTAACGATGGCAGAAACGCCTATAAAAGAGCGGAACTGCGGCGGTTTCTTCGTTTGGTTTTATACCGGAGATCTTCAGGGGAATCTGAAGTCTATGATTTCGTACCTTATTTAAGTTAACTATTTATAATATATCATGGCTCCAACGCTGGAAAGTCCAGAAGAACCCTTAAAACCAGGTAGCAGTCGAGTTAATGCAGCACCTACTACACACTACACATGTGGTTGAATGACCTTTAACACTTGACCTAATTACCAGTGACACACACCGTGACCTACTTATGTCATCTCCGTTGTTGTTTATTGATGTTTTTCATGTGATATAAATATATACATATATATATATAATTATATGTTTGTACAGTCAACATTTTTTCACAAATAAGATATTGCAATTTTACCTGTAAACACTTTCCACTGACACACAACCATGACCCCTACTTTTTGTTCTGACACTGACATAGTTTGTAATGATAATCAATGCATGTTTATCAAAAATAATTTTTTTTACAGTATTTCACTGATAGAACACACACAGTGTTTGACTGCATTTTAAAGATAATTAATTTTAATATTTTATGTAATCTCTGCATGTTTTCATTACTGTTATACTGAATCTTTTGTTTTTAAATTGTGATTATTTCTCATGTTGACATGTTGAAATAATGTTTTCTATACATTGAAAAATGCCATTTAGTAAATATTCCATTTGCATGCCTTGAATCTTATATGGCATGTATTGCTAGCTCCATATTTAACCCCCAAAAAATTAAATAAAAACAACTTGCCACTCAAAAGGAATGGCTAACAGTGACACCTTTTCTTAGGGGTCTAGTTGGTCATGCATCTTAGTACACTTGTTCCTACAGCGAGGCACTGTTGTCATTTGGAAGTGGCAGCTTTCTATTTTTATGTTGTTTAGTGTGTCCTCTATTGTATAATAATGTATTTCTACTTCTTTCCGTGAGTGCCAAACAGTGCATGTCTGTTTCTTTATTATTTATACTCCCCTTTATTAACAAGCATGGCATAAAAGATTAATAATTAAGGCAGTGTTAGCTAGCTTCTCTTAAGAAAGGGGAACAGTGAAATTAAGTAGCCTGCCAACGACTTGTAGAGACATAACCTCATTCATTTAGTTTTCTCATTGCTCATATCAAAGATTATTAATTATTATAATTATACTTAATTTCTCTAACAGTCTCCTAATCAATAACTTGATACTGAGGACCTGTGTTTTATCATTACAATAGCAAACAGGATTGCATCCTAAAGATAAGGTTTTTTTTTTTTTGTAAATGATATAAACACTTTTAATTTGTTCTATGATTAATAATAAGGATTATCATCACAGCACTCCGGACAGATCCATAGGTACTTCCACATCCTCCTCAAAAGTATGAAATGATTGATGATGCCTGTTCTATGTTGATTAATGAAACTTCTGGTCCCCTTAGTGAAATGTTCCTTTCTTGCAGCTCCAGGCTGCAGCCCCATGTCTATTAGCCTAGACAGGGATACGGAGTCATGCCCTTTGGTATTAAAATTTGCTGCTATAAAATATGTAGGATCGATAGGCATAGATATTGCAACCTCCCTGTAAATCACATAGTTGCTGACTGTCCTTTTAAGGGGTATCAAAGAAGACACAAAATATAGTAGAAACTTGAACATTCTGTCAAAATTAATTGCTTTAATTTCTAATTCTCAAACAGATATTTTCCAAGTGATAAATGAGACACTCCAGAAAAGGATCATGGTGTTTGATGGTGGAATGGGCACCATGATACAAAGGGAAAGACTCGATGAGGATGATTTTCGAGGTGACTTATTCAAGAATCATCCTAAAGCGCTCAAAGGAAACAATGATTTACTGAGCATGACAAGACCAGCTGTGATTAAACAGATACATAAGGTAACATTTTTGATCACACTTGTGTTCTATGTAATGTTCTAGTAATATCAGCACAAATTATTTGTAGTTTTAATTATGTTGCTGTAATTGAGAGTGTGTCAAATATGCATCTTCTAGCGAATTATTGGCTTAACAATCTGAATGAAATCTCCTCTCTTCCCATCCGAGGAACGCTCCTTAAAGGTTTAACACTTGTTAAAAGTTTAACACTCCTTAAAGGTTTAACACTCCTTAACCTTAAAGGTTTAACACTCCTTAAAAGTTTAACACTCCTTAAAGGTTTAACGCACCAGCCAGCTGATTAGCTGCAACCTTGGTCAGTCTGGGCAGAACAACTCCCATATCCCATCAGCCTCACAGAAAGATGTAATTAGGGCACCTGTGACAATTTCTGTATCCTCTTTGTGTCATTGACACAAGGCAGTCAAGAGTAATTTCTGCTGCTTCTTTTCTGCTCATGGTAATGTGGGTAATTCTGGAATGTATAAGAGATATCCCAGCAGTATGTTTGCGATATATACTTGCACTGCCTACTATTGCAGATAGGCTCAAAGTTCTACAAGCAAAGTCATATCTCAAAGTAGCTGCAGACAAGAAACACCTTCTCACAGACTGAGAAGGTCTTGGATGGTCCAAGCAGAAGACATGTGTGCAGTCTTGATAAATTTGAGCGAGGAGAGGAGTGGGTCAAAGTGTCCAAGCAAGAATCAGACTTGTGTAGGGTTCTGATCACTTTAGGTCGTGTGAGTGCAGGGACTGACCAGCTGGTGCTGCACAATCAGAGGTTCAACAAATGATTCATGACAATTCCCGCCTAAGTAGTGTGATTATCTATACAGATGGTTCTGTGTTGAGGGGCAAACAAAGTGCATGGGGGTTCATGGCAAAAACAAATGGAAGTCGTTTAGTGCAGAAAAGCCTGGCATATGATTTCACAATGTTTAGTTTGAAAATGCAGGGGGAGGCAGTGAAGACAGTCATAGTCCGTGCTGAGTGGCAAGCAACACTTCAGAGGTCCCGGTTAGCTAGCATCCTTTGGATATTTTCTCCAGGTCATGCCGGTGTGTTGGGAAACATGCAGGCAGATAGACTGGCCAGTTCTACACCACTTGATGGTGAATTGATGTATAACAAGCTAGATTTGAGGGTCCTTAAGGTGTGAGAGAACAGTGCAGAGGCACAAATAGGTTATTATAATCTGAGAAGAATGACACAGTAAGGAGTTACCAGGGGACCTGGAAAGCCTTTGGCACTCAAGGGAAAGGTGAAACGATAAACAGTCAGACAGTTACTAGTGCCATTGGAATTAGAACTCTTTGCTTACTGCTAAAGATGGGGACGGAGCGCTTCTGGGAGTATACCAAGTGCTATGATGTTGATTCTTAATTCAAACTGCCCATGGTATTCCATAATGTTCATAAGATTCTCCTTTGACATTTATTTTGAAAATGTTTATGTGTAAACCCACTGATATAAGCAGTATTCCCAGAATGGCGCTCCTATATATTCTTATGAGAACCACATTTAGTACAATCCTGGTGTGCCATGTCGTTTTAGGCATGTGGTGTCTGCTGCAGCGGCAAGGCGTGCATGTAACAGCTGCCACCGCCCACACTTTTCATTGCCAAAGAAAAATTGATTATTTTACTGTTTACTATTTATTACAGATACATCACTTGGTTTACATCTCAAACATGGCAAAAAGAATGCTCGCTGCATGCTTATGTCACTCATGCCTAAATTGTAATGTGAGAAAGCTACCAGTTATTCCTGTTCTGGTGCTAACTGTACATACATGCTCTCAACTGTGAAGCAACGAGGTGGAAAATATCACATGATACCCTCCCTCTTCTGTGTAACTGCTAACTGGTCTGATTAAGCTGTAGGCTTTTATATTCACGGAAATGTTATGGTATTCATTATATGCATGTGTATCTATGTATGTAATTAATTGCATTCATTTTTCCTCAGGATTATCTTGAGGCTGGAGCAGATTTTATAGAAACGAACACATTCAGTGGTACCTCTGTTGCTCAAGCTGACTATGGTTTGGAGCATATTGTAAGCCAGCAGATTTATGTTATTTATTTTATTGTAAATTTATTGTTTAGTTTCTGCTATTAGTTTATTTCTTGTTCTTATTAGCATTCACTGTCTGTAAACTCCGGCAGAAAGTTCCGGTTGCTTATCCACTGCTGCACTTTGATTTTGATCTAGAACTTGAGTTTTATGGGCACATCCATTTTATAGATCTAGCTTATTTGTGTGCAAATTGTTGGTTTCTTACCTCTCAGACAGGGGCTCTCCAACTTTGAAGAAAATGCCCCTAATTATTCTCCTAGGACATGCTTGTGTGTGTGAAGGGGTGTGAAAGCCTATTCTTTATTCTCTAAAAAAGGCCCTGAAACCCAAAGAGGGAGTATTTGTTTATGCATTCCTTAAATGTGTATTTCATGCCAGTAAACACTGAGGCCATGATTTGCCAGTGTTCCTGTTTGTTTCTATGTTACACTGTTTTGTCAAGCTATTTTGATATTGATCTTTTCATCTTCTGTGCACGGGGACAAGCATAGCTTCAGAGATGCTGGGTCCTTTGGATATTTTCTCAGGGCATACAAATTAGTTGGGAAATAAACGGGCACACAGAAGTGCTGGTTCTGCACCACTTGGCAGTAGATTTATGCAGGTCAAGCTAGATGCTACCAAGGCCCCTTGAGAGTGAGTGAAGAGTGCAGTGGAACAAATAGATCATCCTGGTTTGAATAGAGAATTGTGTGCAAAGAGTGACCAGGCGATATCGCCGACATTCAGCACTTAGCGAAGAAACAAAACTTACCTACAATGGAATTTACACTGTACACTGGCTGCTGAAGATGGGGACAGACCACTTTACTCAATTCAACTCTGTCTTCTGTTCCTCCCCCCCCCCCCTTTTTTTTTTTCCCCCAGCAGTTGGAACAAAAAATTGTTCTTTCTATCTCTAAACATGCCCAAAAATATGTTGTCTGCATATTTCATTAATACAGAACTGACTTCTGTCTACCTGACAGTATGAGTTGTATTTTTCTGTGAATGTTTTAAATTGCAGCCAAAATTATTCATTTATTTCCTTCAGTTTATTGACATCTGCAAACAACACATGACATGCTTCGCTTCGGAGGTCATGGGTGAAGAGCATTTTCTGTATCTTTTCTCTGGGGCATGCTGGTGTGTTGGGAAATAAACAGGTGGCCAGAATGGTTGGCTCTGCACAACATGGTGGAATATTGATGCATGATAAGGCAGGCATGGTTCAGGTCTTATGGGAACACCTTTACAATTTGGAACAGCAAATTTATCGTCACAGTCTGGCGAGAGCAATGCAACATGCAGGTATAATCAGACTGCTTCTGGCACCATTGGTATAGGAAATCTGCACATGCTTCTGAAGATTGAGATGGAGCACTTATGGGAATGCCCCGCGCTGTGATGTTGATTCTTAAATCAGCTTAACTACACCCGATAAAATATGGCAAAATGTGCCTGATCATAAATTAAGAAATCTATGTGTACCTAATTTGTAATTTTAAAAAAAACAGATCATTTGACAATTCATATTCCCTAGAAGAATTCATGAGTAATTAAACATACTTTTTTTTTTGTTGCTGTTGTTGTCAGGTTTACAGACTCAACAAAGAATCAGCAGAGGTAGCAAAACAAGCCTGTGAGGAAGTTGCTCAGAAGACAGGTAAGCTTCACACAGCAGTTTGTTTGTAATCCTCATTGTCGTGGTAGCAGGTCCTCTTCTGAATGTCACTCATATCAGGGCCCTAAACTCCTTGTCGGTTCCTCTGCTTTATTTTTGTGGACAAGTAATCTTCAGTATCCTATGTTTACCTTCATACAGAATTAGCCTCTGTCTACTTCCAGAAATAAAGCTGTCTTTTACCATTATTTAAAACCCCCGCAGTCTTCTAAAACATGATGCATTTATCTTGCATCTAACAACTGAAGCAGCAGTATATAATACATATTAATATTATGTGTGTTTTTAAAAAAACTAAGAAACTTAAAGCTCTGACTATAAAGATATTTGAGAAGAAGGAAATAATCATCACAGTATGCTAAACATCTCAATATTGAGGTAAACTTATTAATGTCATTTTATGTTTTTCAAAGGCATTCCTCGCTATGTTGCTGGAGCAATGGGACCTACCAACAGAACCCTGTCTATATCCCCTTCGGTGGAACAACCAGAGCTTCGAAACATCAGTAAGTTTATTGACAGTTATAATTTGGTTTCTTCAGCCTTTTAGCTTTCCATTGAACTTAGACTGTGAACCAGCCCTTGTTCCCTTACGCCATCTAGTATGATTTTTGTTGTTGTCCTGTTGTATTTTTCCTTAATTCGTCTGCTCTAGTTGCTTTAAACCACATCTAGGCAGATTTTTAAATAATTGGCTTGGGTCTCCTAGGTCAGCCAGTCTAAAATGGGTGCTTTGAAGTGTTCTGGGAAGTAAAGGGGATCAGCATGTTGTTGACAGTATCCCTGATGGTGTGAGAAGGGTGCTTCACTCTTGCTCCAACTGTTTATTTGTTATCTGACCTTTCCACATTTCCAGACGAAGGTGTTTTAATTGTGCGATAGGGGGGCATAGTAATTACAGCCTGTAACAATAGTGAGTCCAACTAACAAGAACAGTTAAGGTTAGGAATGAAATTCCTCCATCCCATTGCGCAAAGCCTGAGCAGTATTCTAGAGACGACATGTTTCTCGTGCAATGTGATCCCCCACTTGGCCTGCCAGGTTTACTGCAAAGAAAAGGTAATATCAATACATTTCAAACAAAACAGGCTGCAGAAGCTGCCTGGTGAGAAGAGTTCTGTCTGTCTGCATGTTGGAGTTTTTCTCTTAGATACCAACTAATGCTAAGGGCCTGGTCTGCCCTGCCATAACATTTACGTTTTCAAGCTGCATTTCATTTTTTTAGGTTATCCTCCTCATTATGCCTTCCTGTCTGAAGCCTTTGGCACAGTGTTGGGTGCCAGGTTTGGTATCTACTGCCCAACATTTGGCATTTACAGAGATAACTAATGATAGTCTCTCAGTGTTGGTACTACCTGGCATATTCAGCGACGGTTATAGTTGTGGTCACCTTCTGTTCCCTGGAGCCACAAAGGAAGCAAAGAATTGGAACACTGTAACCAGCCATGCATTTTTTAAGATGCTATTTAAGAAGATTGTTATGTAACTGGTTGCTTCATCCAGTCCAACATTTTAGTCACAAATTCTAACCAGTCAGTTTGTAGGCACACAGATAGATGGTCCATTTGTCACACACTGAGAGATATTTGGTATATGGCACTAGCTCTAAATTTTGTATAGACTCATCAGCACTGAGTGTGTGATGTGGCCAGTATGACACTGACAACATTTACTTCCGTGAACAATTTCTCGGACCCGTTTGAATGAATCAAGAGTTGACATCCCTGCACTTGGGATACTCCCACTTGTGCTCTATCTCCTTCCACAGCAGCCAGGAAAGAGTCGACACGCTAATAGAACTGTTTGCAGCCTGATTAAAAGTCCTCTTCTATTTCCCCTTTCTGGTACCCTGGGTTGTGTGTGTTGTCCATCAAGATAATGATGATAACTCTTTTTCATCAAGTATGAGTATGAAGATGGCCGATGTGGGCCCAAAAAGTTCTTGGACAGTGAGGACAGGGAATGAGTGTTGTGCCAGGGAGGGGATCTCTTGCAGTCACCTTTCTGTCCATCCTTTTCTTAATCAGTCTTGCTTTTCTGTTTGCTTCACATTCAGTTGTGCCCTTGTGTAGAACTGCATGCCATGCATTTCGGTCTTGAGAGGCAGCCTCCCAATTGGTGCCATTCATCCCAAATGCTCTGAGTGAAGACTTGAGGTGTCCTTAAAGCGTTTCCTTTGCCCGCCTTGGGAACGTTTCCTATTTTGCAGCTCACTGTAGAAGGTTTAACTTAAGTTAAACTAAGAGCCCAGGTTAAGATTTTTTTAAAGTCAAGATTTTGCAGTCGTGATAGTTTTCTTTTTATTATCCATGCCATGTAATATTTGTTATCCTGTCCGTCCACAGTTTTCTATGTCTGGTACCATCAGTCATTTCCAGTACAGATGTGTTGCCATGCAGAGGTGCCAAACCATCCATCATCCTTTCTTTTGCTCTCCTGTGCATCTTTCCTCTTGTTTTGATGTGCGTTAATTGACCCCTGTCTTGGTATACCCAAAAAATGTAGATTGTGTTCTTCTGGTGTCGACAGATTGTTCTCTTAATCAAGATATCTTCATTACTTTTTTATCTGTCCTTGTTTTTCTGGTGTGAGCAACCAGTTCTCTTAGTCAAGATATCTTCATTACCTTTGTTTTTGTGCATGATGTTCTTACATTCTTCTATAAAACCACATCTCCAAATGTTGAGTTAGGAACCTGTATCACAGCACTTGGGACTCTCGCCTAAGTGCCGTGTCAGCATCTCTTAAGCTTCAACATAATTTTTTTTCCTATCAGCCGACTGTCAATGAGTTGTTGATTTACCTCTATACATCAAGATTAGCTCTCTGTATCCTTCAAGAACTCTTATCATTGACCTCTAAACATCAGGATTAGCTCTCTGTATCCTTCAAGAACTCTATCATTGACCTCTATACATCAGGATTAGCTCTCTGTATCCTTCAAGAACTCTATCATTGACCTCTATTCATCAGGATTAGCTTTCTGTATCTTTCAAGAACTCTATCATTGACCTATATACATCAGGATTAGCTTTCTGTATCTTTCAAGAACTCCATCCCCTCACCTGACAGTTTTCATGACATTTATTTCCAGCCTTTGACCAGCTTGTGGATGCCTATGCAGAACAAGCTCGAGGGCTTCTTGATGGAGGATCTGACGTATTACTTGTGGAGACCATCTTTGACACAGCCAACGCCAAAGCTGCCTTGTTTGCCATTGAGACTGTGTTTGAGTCTGGATATCATCGTGTTCCTGTGTTTGTGAGTTGGCATTGTTGGAAGTTAACCTTTAACCCTATCACAAACAGTGCACCATCTGTGCTAAGCTCTTCTTTGTGGGCATTAAATATTTGTCATATGTGATTGTACTTCCTGTATGTATTTAGTTATACTAGAGAAATGTGATAATGTATTTATTTTTTACATAACATATATATGTAAGTGATCTGTTTTGTCCCCCTAATATGGTAACATGAAACCCTGGAAGCAGGTGGTGGACTGAACTTGTGAGCAACTGACAGATAGTTGTTGGTCACGGTCCCCGATAGTAGGCAGAGGAGATTACATTATAGTGACAATGACTAGGATCACCCAGTCAGTATGGTCATTGCCGAGAAAGAAAGCTGTGGCAAACTACTTTCTTTAAGAAACCAAGAAAAGTCATGATTTCACAATTTGCATAAGAGATAAATGCCTGGATGGCTCGGTCATATAGGTGTGGTAAGATAAGAACACTGACCTAATCTGTGATTCTGGTGATCATATGTATAAGGTAGTAAAACATGACAGCTATGCTCGTCAACAGGTCCCTCATGGTACTAGTAATCAGCAGTGATTGAAACTGATAGCAGTCACTCATGTTATAAATATTCTCTTAGTTTGCTGGTTTTGACAGTTTTAAATGTAGCCTAGCTAGTGATTTGTTTTGTCTACACTGTACAGTTTCAGGCTGTTGGAGAAATGTGGATGTACCCGTGTACTCCTAGTTTTTGTTTTCCTTGTCTGAGAAGGTTAGGCATGTGATCTACTGCCTCAGAAACAGAGGGAGTATGTCAGGGTGAAGGAAGCGTGTGGTAGGGTCATGGTGAGATGTGTGGTAGGGTCATGGGGAGGTGTGTGGTAAGGTCATGGGGAGGTGTGTGGTAGGGTCATGGGGAGATGTGTAGTAGGGTCATGGTGAGATGTGTGGTAGGGTCATGGGGAGGTGTGTGGTAGGGTCATGGTGAGATGTGTGGTAGGGTCATGGTGAGGTGTGTGGTAGGGTCATGGGGAGGCGTGTGGTAGGGTCATGGTGAGGCGTGTGTACTAGGTTATTTGACTCGCCCTGCTACAGATGCCCAATTCTGGTTGCTGATAAAAGTTTTTAACAACTTGCTGATTTTACATTTTTTTTGGTATAAAACACTTTGAGCAGAGTTCCTGCCCATTGTGACCTCTAAGACTCTCTTGGCAACTGAAATCTATGAAAAAATTAGCTGATGATCCTGTACAGGTTGCAAAGAATAATGAATGATCATTATCATCATCATCAATTAGCAGGTTCTTAAAGTCTTTCTAACAAATTCTTCAGCCCTGTGTGCTTTTATAGGCAGTGCATCTTCAATATCTTGTATCCATGTTCAAGGAGGTCGACCTCTGCCTCTCCATCACTGTTCTCTCAATGCCACCATGATGTTTAACATGGCCAGAATACCTCAGCTTTCAGGGCAGGATGCTTTTATGAGTTTGTTTTCTTCGACATTCAGATCATATATAAAGTCTGTGTTTTTGTTCATCTAATGATAACAAATGAGGACATAGTTCTCACAACTGTTTATCTAATTTCCTTGAAAGAATCACAGTCAATTTGAGTATAAATATGAGACCACTACTACAAGTTGAACTATCAGTCTATGACTACTACCAGTACTACTCTACCCCATGATGCATTGTCACATTCTAGTTATCTAGGCTGTCAACTCAGGTGCTTGGTTGACTACTGACTTAGCTTGCTCATAATCTGAGCTAGTTCCTATGGCTTCCGGTATTTCATGTGGTTTGTGTGTACCATTTGATACTAAAATATTTTGCATTTTGCTGACTCCTGCCCCTACAAGGGTCCTGACAGAGTATACCATCCTTATTCTTGTATAAATCCACAGTCAGTGCTGTGAATTAAACCTGGTCCAGCTGAGCAAGAGGCAAATAAATATCCTAATTTTGAAGCCACTTTTTTTTTAAATAATAGATCATTGTGTGTGTGATTGCTGCATTGTGTGTGTGATTGCTGCATTGTGTGTGTGATTGCTGCATTGTGTGTGTGATTGCTGCATTGTGTGTGTGATTGCTGCATTGTGTGTGTGATTGCTGCATTGTGTCATGCCATTTGTTTTAGGTTTCAGGAACCATCGTCGACAAAAGTGGCCGAACTCTATCAGGTCAGACCACCGAGGCTTTCATCATTAGTGTGTCCCACTCTCAACCAATGTGCCTGGGACTCAACTGTGCTCTGGGCGCCGCAGAGATGAGACCATTTATTGAATCTATCAGCAAGAATACAGAAGCCTTTGTGCTGTGCTACCCAAATGCTGGTTAGAACATTATTTCATTATAACTGTCAGTTTTCACCAGCGGGTTCCACAATTTAGTACTAAAACCTCCCTTGGAAGAGCTGTGGGTAGCTCAGTGGGTATACTGCGCTTGTCTACAGGCTAGAGGTTATTATGTGAATATAATCAAGGCAGTTATCTTTAAAAAGAATGAGAAGGTCTCACAGGTTGATCCAGCCTCAAATGGATTCTGGGAAGATGGTTGGCATTATATTGACCACATAACCTGTTGACTGCTAGCTGCTCTATAAAAATATATATAAAAATACATCCACTGATTGCTAGTTGCTGTATAAAAGTAAATGTTTGCTTTATTTAATAAAAAATACACCTGTCGAGTGCAAGTCGCTCTATAATAATATAGGATTGCTTTTTAAAAATACAGGCTAACATTAACTGGCCAACACGCCTAAATCTGGGGAAAAGGATCTTTAATATACCACTTTTTATTGGAAAGAGGATAGTTAGGTATTTATGTACTTAGTAAAAGTAAACGGACATTTTTCATGCCACAACAGGAATATGATGGTAGGCTCATATCTTTATAGGCCAGTTTGCACTCAGTGGTTGATGTGGTCAACATTATGCTGGCTGGCTTTACTTGTTAGATATTACCTGGTAGCCGTTTTAGGCTGGGTCGATCAGGACTTTGTAATAAGCCGAATCCTTTCAACCAGTGAGCTTTGCTTAGGGCTGTGAGCTATTACTAGACACAGGATAAGCCTGCTTTTCACTTCACATCTGACACAAGCACTCTTCTTTTTTGTGTTTCACTTCCCAATAAAGCCAAGACTTTTCTGATAATGGAATGATAATTTGGATTGTTCCAATTCTTAGGATAGCTTTTAACATGGGTTTATTTTCCAGAAGTAAAGGTTTTACTTTAACTTCTACAAATTAGATAATGGAGGAATTTTGATGCTAGTGATAGCCATGGAAAACCTATTAGATATATTTTTTATAATTTTTTTTATTTTAAATTTTACAAACACTGGTACTGCAATACCACTGCTATTTGTATTTAGCTTTTTTAAAAATAATGAACTCAAAGTAAGGATTTTTCATGGTTAGTCAAGTTTATACACCCATTCTGATCTACTGCAAGGGACACTGAGTGCCTATAGCATTGGATGCTCGCTAAAAATGTCCCCTCTGTCATGTACAAAATAAAAAAAAACATTGCTTGAGTCATTTATGTTAGATATTTTTAAAAAGCATCTTCTCCTAGCGGATGTTACATTAAATAACAGCTGTAATTTTATAACATTGTATTGAAAAATAAAATACTTGTTTCAATTTGTTCTTTTTTTCTGTTTGAGCTGATCCACAAAATATTGCTGTAATTGTTCTACTCGGCAGGTGTAAGTAGGTTCAAGAACATTAATCTAGCATGCAATGGATTTTTTCCTATTTGTTTTACTGGTGACATACTATGTGCCTGATAAATGGATGTCATCTTCTGTTGACAGGTTTGCCAAACACATTTGGAGAATATGATGAAACACCAGAAGTCACAGCATCACAAGTGAAAGTAAGTTTGTTTGTTTTAAAAAAAACATATTTCTGTCTTAGTCTTGTACAAAACCAGCTGCTATAGCATAGTGGCTAGAAGGTCACCCGCCGACTCTGAGGTTTTGGTTTGAATCTCAATCTTAAACTTTTTTTTTTTTTAAATTCAAGCTTGACTTGGCTCCCAGATCAAGCCAGTATAAAAATGGGTACTAGGCAATGTCCTGGGAAGCAAAGCTGGTCAGCGTGATGGGCCCTTGGTGCTGATTGTCAGTAAACAATATGACTATCATTATATACCTTATGTGAAAAGGTCTGTTTATTTGACATATACAAGACATGGAGGCCTTAACTGGAGAGCCTAATCTAAGCTGAAAAGGCAAACAGCAAGTTCATCGCATTGAATGTGAACAGAATCTGGTCAATAATAACTACCACATACTTGACCGGCCATCAGTCTATGCCTCACGACGGGTCATCTGTCTACATCTCACGACAGGGCATAACAGTCATGTGCACAAGCTGCAGCTGGAAAGTCTACCTTCATTTCCATGTGGTCTGTATGTGCAAACTGCAGAACATGACCTTCAAGGCTTCCTTTGTACAGTCCATTAGGAAGTGAATACTGGCCCAATGATCAATGCTCAGAGTTGTGTGGAACTAAAGAGGAACTCCAAAACAAAACTGTCAGTTTTCTCATAAAAAGTCATCTGTCAGTGTCAATCAGGGAAGTGATCATGAGGAAAAGAAGAATCCCATTAAAATGAAATAACTTTGGGATTTGGACGGGGTTGCAAAAATTGTTGAGAATTAGACCAGTAGAGTGACATAAGCAGACTTAATCTTTAGTATTCAGACAAGCATGCTGTTGGGGTAGATGTTGGAGGCGAATATTGGGCAGTATATACCAGATCTGACACTGCACTGGTGTCAGTGGCTTCAGACCGAGGCAGAGAATTGTGATGGCCTTATCCTGGTATGAGGAAATGCAGCCTGAAATCTTTGTTATGACAGGGCAGACTAGGTTGTTAGCTTTGATTGCTGGCTGGTCTAAGAGGCAAGACAGAGTACTGATCTGGCAGATTCTGCAGCATGATTTCTTCCATATGTATTGATGTTACTTTTTCTTTGGAGTTAACAAAGCAGGTTGAGAGAGGTGTCATGCTGCATGGCTAACACATAGTCCAGGCTTTGTGCTGTGGAGAGGAGGAACTTCATCTCTGACTGTAATTGGCATCTATGATTCTTTTAAGCTCTCTAAAGCACAATGAAACAATGTCATTAGCACAGTCGATAGAAGACTCGCTTTCAGATCCAGCTGCGACTCACTGCGGCCCGCGACCGGTGTTCAAAATGGGATGGTTCCCAGGGTTCACCCAGCCTCTAGGTAATGGGTACCAGTGTTAACACTCTGGGGTAAATGGAGGAACGTCACTGTAGCTACGGAGTTGCATGAGGACAACGACACCGGCGAACAGTTTCTTATCAGCTGTCCATACTGGTGGCAAAGCACTTATGGTTTATAAGCGTGTGCAGTGACGCTGGTTCACATCTTGGTAGAGCACTTATGATTTATAACCATGTGCAATGACGCTGGTTCACATCTCCTGACTTTACCGTTATCTGGAAAGATAGGAATTTGTCAGCAGACCAACAACAACACAATTTTAAACATTAAGAAATGTAACAACTAAATGGCGTATCTTTTATTAAGTTGTATAGGGCTCTGACTTGTCATAGTTGTGCCTGAAAGTAATTTTTGTGTCATTTCAGTTTTTACTGTTTTGTTTATTGATGAATGCATTTCACCACCATGTCCTCTACATTTGTTGTATGCATGTGTTCTTGTTAAGCTTGTCTTCAACTTGTCTTGTTTGTACTATTGTATAACTACCTTCTGTTATTTGATATTTTCCGTTGGCAGGAGTTTATGAAGGATGGCCTTGTCAACATTGTTGGAGGATGTTGTGGGACTACACCAGCTCATATCAAGTAAGTTTTTGACAAAAGCCTATATAAAATCATTTTACAGGCCTATATAAAATAATTTAACACAAGCCTGTATACAATGAGTGCATTGGCAACTATGAACCTCTTTTAACTACAGTGGAAAGGCGAAAAATGCAATGGTATGGACATGTAATAAGATCTATTGGCCTCTCAAAAACAATACTGCAGGGCTCAGTAGAGGAGAAGAGGCAGACCAAGAAAGACCGGGTTGCAGAACTTGACTGACTGGACAGGCCTCAGGCATGCAAACATGAAGTCCATCGCAACTGAGCGCCTAAGGTGGAGAGAGCTGATCAGACAATCAACAGAAACTAGTGACCAAATGACACGTAGTGTTACGGAATGAATGATTTAACACAAGCCCATATTAATAAATAAATTGTTAACACAATCAACTGAACTGATTGGATAACTTCACTCTCTGTGGAATGTCACAGGCTGTTAACTCTGGCAAAAAGTTCTGGTTGTTCGTCCGCTTCTGGACTTTAGTCTTGTTCCATAACTTGAGTTTTGAATGCACATCTATTTTAGAAATCAGGCTCATTTGTATGCAGACTGTTGGTTCCTCTCGTCTCAGGCGGATGCACTCTGCTTTAAAGGAAACACCACTAGTTAGTCAACTCTTATTGCATGCTTTTTAGAAGCGCAGTGGGTCTTTATTTTCCTTAACATGGGGCCTGGAACCAACACTGGGACATGATTAACTTGTTGTAATCATCATCATCATAAACCACTTCTGCTGTTAAGCATCGTTGGGAGGAATAATTTGCGATCCAGTGCACGCTGGCTGCCACTGGCTATTGTCATACTGTGAAAGCATAGAGTGTCTTTAATGTTGTTGATCCAGTGCATGCTGGCTGCCACTGGCTATTGTCATGCCGTGAAGGCGTAGAGTGTCTTTAATGTTGTCGATCCATAATTTACGTGGCGTCCTCTTGCTCTTGTAGCTGATCTTCTGAGATGTAGTGTTTGTGAAGGAATTTGATCTTGTTGCATTCTAATGAGATGGCCATACCACTTTATCTGCTGTTTCTCAATGAATCTAGTACAAGGTGTCACGTGTTGTACTCATGGAAAAAAAAAAAACTGGTGATCCAGGCGCACTGTCCTGTCAGCCTGTTGTTCAGATTCCCATCAAGGTTGGGGGTATATTTAGCAATTGGCCCGGGCACCCAGATTGGCCTTTTCTAAAATGGATATTAGGACATTTTTGGGGAAGATGTGTTGACTTGTTTATTGACCACATCACTTATAATATGCCAGTTGGTCATAAATAACCTCCTTCACCCAGAAAAGAAGATTTTTGTCACAAGGTATGAAAGGGTGACAGCAGACCAACTTAGACATGCTTTTAGAGATTAAAAGTTGTGGAGAGGTATTATGACAGTGATGATGATGATGCTCCATACATCTCATGACATGGAAATATGCCCTAAACATCATTATCATCAGGTACCTTGCAGACTGGCGTGGGCGATCATCCCTCTCCATAATCCATGATCTCCTGCAGCCTGTTTCAGTTCGTCCTACACATAAATGATTATTAATACTTGACCTTTCTGGTTTGTTTTTCCAACAGGGCTATAGCAGACTTAGCCAAACATTACAAGCCCAGGATTCCACCAGCTAATCTTCATGCAGGACACCTTTGCCTTGCAGGTTAGCATCAATTTATTTCTGTTATTTATTTATTTGTTTGTAAAAAATTTTCTTCACTTGTGTTCCTAAGTGTGTAAATATTAAAAAAACAAGAACAAAATAACTATAGTTTGTAATTTTTGCGTATTACTTGGAATAGTGGTTCTCAGGTCAGATTTGGGGATCCCTACTGTTTTCCTAGGTCTACCATGGGCCTCATAATTTGTAAATGTTTTTAGGTACTATTATTCTTTTTTCACCCCATCTTAGTGATTCTGAGATTTCATTAGGAATTCCCAGGAAGGTCCAGTATTTATTGGGGGAGGGGGGGGGGGTGTTATGGTTAGTGTTAGTCGGTGTTAATTTCACACTCTAACACCCCTATAGGTTTTGACTTTCCTGGGAGTTTCCCACAAAATCTCAGAGTTGTTGAGATGGGGTAAACAAAAAGAAAAGTACAAATGTTTATAATTTTAGTTTTAGAATGGCCCAGAAAAAATGTGTTTATTTAAAGCAGACATGTGGTGGGAGAGAATCACTTAAATTTGTTCAGCACACCACCAGGTGGGAAATACTGGCTGTGAGCTAAATTAAGATACAACTGTCAATTGTAAACAAGACAAATACATACCTTGTGGCCTTAGAGATATCATTTGACAGAAGAATGTTTACAAATCTTGGATGACCAAAAGAAGTAATCTGAATGTATTTTTTTTAAACCAAGATATGAAAGTAACTTATCACAAATATCAGAAACGAGTGGGGTTTTTTTTTTTTTGGTTTTTTTTTAAACATAGTGAGAAGAGTGAAAATGCTGTAGAAGTACAAACTGTAAATATTTTACTGATTGTAAAAATATTTTCTTTGCATTATGTTACTGATTGTAATAAAAGTTGTCATTGTATGGAAAAATGTTTTTTTTTTTAGGACTTGAGCCATTTTACGTTACCCCTGAAACTAATTTTGTCAATATTGGAGAGAGGTGCAATGTGGCAGGCTCAAAAATGTTTTGCAGACTTATAAAAAATCGGGAGTTTGAGGTAATTATTCTGATAAACTTATTTTATGGCATCAGGATTTGAAGTAGGCCTTTCTAATATCATTACTTGTAATAGTCATCAGAAATAAGCATATTAAAGTAGTAGGCGACTATCGGTCTCTCGGGGCCATGGAGTTGTGCCTCTGGTTTTGGAAACAGAGTCTGCTATGACTGCCACGTGTTCCACATAAAAACGAAACTCTATCATTCACAGGCCAGGTTTTTCTCTCAAATGTCTACACTTTATAGCTGTATGCTTTTTGGCTTCTTTAAAACTGTAACAGTCTGTCTGTTACTGTCTGCCTACAGAGGAGTTAGTCTCTCCCAAGTGTCTGTGTCTGCCTTGATATCTTTGATGTCACGCTTGCATAAATCCTTATAGCGAAGTATTGCTCTTTCTGCAGATCATACCCCAGCTACCAGTTCACCATAGAGGAGATCCTATGTGAAGTAATAAGTATTACTCTACTGTCAAGAGACCTTTAAAAAATATACTCAAAAGAAACATACAATACTTGTTTTTGAAGAGTCAGTCACTGCATATCTTATTATTTTGGTTCTTTTTTTTTTTTTTTCCAATTAGTTTGATTTCTAAACTCATTTTATTTTGATAATTTTATTATGTTTTTACTGTTTGTATTTATTCCTAGAAGTGAGCTATTTGTATTTAAAATTAAATACTGTGTCATCTCCACAGTGAAGTTTGGCTACAATACACCCTCTGGTAGGTCCCAATCTCTTCCACAGTGCGACTCTCATAACTTGTCCAGAAACTACAGGAACATTTTTATTTGAAATGAAACTTTCAGTACAGAAATAGAACCAGATTACTCGATGGTCAGGAGTTTATTAAACTGATTTACTAGCCTCTAAGCCTCAGAACCACACTTTGTTATGCTGACTGATTATTTGGCGACCAAACTCATCACTGCTCACCTGCCAATCGAAAGGTCATGGGTCAAGTCTTGACGTAGCCTGACTTTTTCTTTTTCATACTGGCCTCTCATACTGCAAGTTTACTTTGAGTATGGCAAAAATCTGTTTCCTCAGAAATATTATCTTGATTACAATATTTGTTGTCAGCAGTGGCGGCTCATGGGTAGCACTGCGGAACTTGGAACATGCGCTGCAGGTTGAGTAGACTGTTTTGACTATTTTGATTATGCACACACTTCCGCAGTGCTTACTATAAGCAGCCATCGACTGTCGGAAAGATGATCTGAAGTACAGTAATTATACTTTCATAAATATTTTAAATTTAACTAAGCTTCATCTGTTGATTAAAACCCATAAATAAACTTTTTTTAAAAACCATAATTGTCTTTAATACAACTAAATTTGTCTGTTTTCAGAAAAGTTACCCTAAATATAAATCTTTATATTTTCAAGCAGAACATCTTAGCCAGATTTGTCTGAACAACTAAATTTATCAAATTATCTTTGAGAAAAATTATCCTCAAAATAAAAAATTTCAGAACAATTATTCCATAAAAATCTTTTTTTTTTTTTTTTTCAGAAAGCTCTAGCGGTGGCAAAGACGCAAGTGGAAAATGGTGCACAAGTTTTGGACATAAACATGGATGAAGGAATGTTGGACGGTATCTCTGCTATGACAACATTTGTTAATCTGATAGCATCAGAACCAGAAATTGCTAGGGTATTTATTACATAATTTAACAACTTTTTTTTTTTCTAAACTTCTGTGATGTATTTTTAATTTAACACATCCAACCATATTGTGAATAAAGCACAGCAAAAGACCCTTTTCCACACCTTAAGACATATAGGGCTAGACCTATATTTTTATAGACCAATCGGCACAAGATGGGTGATGTGGTCAGTATCACGTCAGCCTTTACTTTCCCGGGACTGCACCCGGTACCCACTCAAGGCTGGGTTGACCTGGGAGCCAAGGCCATTTTTGAAAAAAGTCCGGCTCCGCCAGGGAGCAAACCCACGACCTTCCGATCCGCGGTGAGCGTCTAGCCGCTCGGCCATGGCGACTATTGTGAATAAAGAGTTACACAGAGAAAGTAAAAGACGGCTGTCTGGCAGCTGACTTAATGGATACCTAGAGTATGATGAAAGGAAGTGAATGAAGTCAGCCCATATTAGGGAACTGTATAGTGCGGGGGTTGCTGGGGAGATCAGTATAAATATCTAGCCCTATATGCCCAATACGTCTGAAAGCAAGGTAAAGGGTTCTTTACTTGACAGACACTCCCGTAGCATGTAAAGTTTGCATCTTTGACCAGCTTCATCATAGGCCCTTATTATTGTCAGTCCTGTCCTTGTTACATCATATTAGTGTCTGCCCAGGGTGCTTCACATGGAGATGTAAAGAGACTATAAATCTAGACCCTGACACACCAGTAGGCCTCAATCACAAATCTAATAAAGTTTATTCAGCACATTTTTAAACCTGTCATTTTCTTTATAAATTTGTTATGTGCTCATTTGTAAATAAGTTGTTTGTGTGTGTTTATATGCAGTTGTATTAATATATATTTTTTAGTTTTATTATATTGTACATATTATTACTAAAGTTTATGATTAAATTATAATTAATTTACTTTAAATCGTAAACCACTTAAGACTTCTATGTTAAAGTATTTTATTTTATTTATATTGAATTGTCTGTGATGTGTAAATCGGCTTTTGGATATTTTATCTTTGCTTTCAAACTAGGTCCCGCTGTGCATTGATTCCTCCAACTTCAGTGTCATCGAGGCTGGTTTGAAATGTTCTCAAGGAAAGTGCATTGTCAACAGCATCAGCTTGAAGGAAGGAGAGGTAGACTTCTTAAAGAAAGCCAAGACTGTCAAGCGATTTGGAGCAGCTGTGGTTGTTATGGCGTTTGATGAGGAAGGACAGGTAACTCTTGGCGCAAATCATCTGGTTCTACAAACTTTTTAAATTCTGCATAGTTTCCCCTGGGATTCCCCATAATGGTTCCAGTGCCCTTTAAAGAGAAAACAAGAATAGACACACTGCGTCTTAGTATGTTGATGTGCAAAACAGATCCACAACTGTCTCTTAGTAAGTTGATGTGTAAAACAGTCCCACAACAGTGTTGCCAACTGTTGATGTGTAAAACAGTCCCACAACTGTGTTGCCAACTGTTGATGTGTAAAACAGTCCCACAACTGTGTTGCCAACTGTTGATGTGTAAAACAGTCCCACAACTGTGTTGCCAACTGTTGATGTGTAAAACAGTCCCACAACTGTGTTGCCAACTGTTGATGTGTAAAACAGTCCCACAACTGAATTACCAATTGTTAATGTGTAAAACAGTCCCACAACTGTGTTGCCAACTGTTGATGTGTAAAACAGTCCCACAACTGTGTTGCCAACTGTTAATGTGTAAAACAGTCCCACAACTGTGTTGCCAACTGTTGATGTGTAAAACAGTCCCACAACTGTGTTGCCAACTGTTGATGTGTAAAACAGTCCCACAACTGTGTTGCCAACTGTTGATGTGTAAAACAGTCCCACAACTGTGTTGCCAATTGTTGATGTGTAAAACAGTCCCACAACTGTGTTGCAATTGTTGATATGTTAAACAGTCCCACAACTGTGTTGCCAACTGTTGATGTGTAAAACAGTACCACAACTGTGTTGCCAATTGTTGATATGTAAATCACTCAATCAGGTGCCGTCTCCACAATGAAGGTTGGCTGCAATGGATCTCCAACAAGCCCTGTCTCTTGCCCTTGATGTACACTCAATCATACTGCTGTTCGTCCATCTCTTGATGTTATCCACCCACTTGTAACGCTGTCTGCCTCTTGCTCGCCTACCTTGAACCTTTCCCTCTAGGATGATCTTTACAATACTGTTATGTCTTTTAATGTGACCAAAATATTTCACTTGTCTCTTTTTTATTTCACCTAGCAAACTCTCTTTTCATTCCCAATTTCCTCAGTACCTCTGTATTTGATAGCTTTTGTTTCCATGAAATACGACCTAATCTTCTGTATATCCACATCTCCAAAGAATTGATACGATTTTCCAGTTGTTTTTTCATTGTCCATGTCTCTGTGCCATACAGTATGGTTGAGAATACATAACATTTGACAATTCTCATTTTTAATGTATTGCTTATTTCTCTTGATGTCAGTAACTTTTGCATGTTGTTGAAAATGTTTTTGGCTTTTCTTGTTTCTTGACTTCTGTTTCACTTCTGCCGTCACATGTTATTACTTGTCCAAGATATAAGAAATTTTTAACTTGTTCCAATTTCACCCCGTTCACTGTGATATTCATTGTTAGCTGATTATTTGTAGTTGATATGTAAAACAGTCCCACAACTGTGTTGCCAATTGTTGATATGTAAAACAGTCCCACAACTGTGTTGCCAATTGTTATGTAAAACAGTCCCACTACTATGGAAATCCTTGTGTGAGTTCAAGAACATAATTTTTTTTTAGACAAAAAAGGGACACCCACTGCCCCCCAAAAAAGCCTGTGGTATAAGGCGACTAACGGAGGGTTTCCTTCAGTCAGAATGCATCTGCATACAAAAAAACCCCAGGTTTTTAAAGTGGATATGCATGCAAAACACAAGTTTTAGAGCAAAACACAAGTTTTGGAAAAAGACCAAAGCCCAGAAGGGAATGAACACCCAGAACTTTCTGCTGAAGTTTACAGCCGGTGAACACTAAGAAGAAGAAGTAGAGACTGGAATGAGTGAATAAGCAGTGTGTAGACAGTGGATCAGCAGTGTGTTGGAAATCCATTGTAGCAGTGGGATGAAAGTGTGTAGACAGTGGATCAGCAGTGTGTAGACAGTGATCAGCAGTGTGTAGACACATCAGCAGTGTGTAGACAGTGGATCAGCAGTGTGTAGACAGTGGATCAGCAGTGTGTAGACAGTGGATCAGCAGTGTGTAGACAGTGGATCAGCAGTGTGTAGACAGTGGATCAGCAGTGTGTAGACAGTGGATCAGCAGTGTGTAGACAGTGGATCAGCAGTGTGTAGACAGTGGATCAGCAGTGTGTAAGCAGTGGATCAGCAGTGTGTAGGCAGTGGATCAGCAGTGTGTAGGCAGTGGATCAGCAGTGTGTAGACAGTGGATCAGCAGTGTGTAGGCACTGGATCAGCAGTGTGTAGGCACTGGATCAGCAGTGTGTAGACAGTTGATCAGCAGTGTGTAGACAATTGATCAGCAGTGTGTAGACAGTGGATCAGCAGTGTGTAGGCAGTGCATCAGCAGTGTGTAGGCAGTGGATCAGCAGTGTGTAGGGATCAGCAGTGTGTAGGGATCAGCAGTGTGTAGGCAGTGGATCAGCAGTGTGTAGGCAGTGGATCAGCAGTGTGTAGGCAGTGGATCAGCAGTGTGTAGGCAGTGGATCAGCAGTGTGTAGGCAGTGGATCAGCAGTGTGTAGGCAGTGGATCAGCAGTGTGTAGGCAGTTGATCAGCAGTGTGTAGGCAGTTGATCAGCAGTGTGTAGGTCAATTTTCTTCGATTATTGTTTCTTTGAAATTTTGTCTGCACTGTATGACAACTTAAAACCCCTGAGTGATAAACTAACCCAGAAACTTATAACTTCTGAATGAGTTTGAAAATTAAACATACTTTAAAGTATTATTCTCAAATTTGGATATTCACTACTCCTCTGGTGGCAAAACCATGGAAAGTGAAGAACTTTTTTGTGTGTACAATTTTGTCTTTGTAAACATAACACCTTGCTGAATAAATTTTTTTTTTTTTTTACTGTCACATTATTAAACAAAAACATGTCATCAGATTCAAAATTTACATTCATTCCTCTTTTAAAAAAATATACACTTCTGTAGGGATTAGAAATATATTGGATTCTCAATTGCTTTTTTTGTTTTTTTTACACCACCCCTCTTCCATTTTTGTAAAGGGAAATTAATTTTAGCAAAGTATGTCGAAATTCAAAGGCCTGAAAGAGTTAAGATTATAAATTGTTTATATTAATCTGTTTTAACAGCCAGTTTTGAAACTTAAGATATTCTAGTTTTTATGAATATTTGTCTGGAGCAAGTATTGGGAGTACATTTTTATTGACTCATCTTTCTTTGTGTTCTCAGGCCACAGATTCTGAGCGTAAAGTTGCCATCTGTACCCGCTCTTATAACCTGCTGACGCAGAAGCTTGGATATAACCCCAATGACATCATCTTTGACCCCAATATTCTAACTATTGCTACAGGCATTGAGGAGCATAATGAATACGGAATCACCTTTATTGAAGCCACTGCCATCATTAAAGTAAGTTACTGTTTGATGCATCTGCCATTTACATTCTTTATGTCTGTATTTCTTTCGCTGAAAAAAAAAAATTTTTTTTATTTCTTTTGTGGGTTACAGTAGCATGATGGGATGTAACCATATGTTGACACCACAGTATCAGAGACCCAAATAAAAAAGGACAACTTCAAGGAGTGACAACTAATCAAATATAGTTCTTAATAACATAACAAAGCGTGGCCCATGGAGGTGTATCGCTGGAAGCATTAGCACATAATAGTTGTTACTATTTATAGAACAGTATCATCAAATGAAGTAAGTAGAGGTCCATTTACACAAAAGTGGTGCATCAGATCCATGAGACTGGATATATGAGACTAGACTCATATTTGTATACATCTTATAGACCTGAATGGGTGATTTAGTCAGCATCATGTCAGCCGTTGCAATGACTCTCTTCTTCGTCTTTCTGGCTCTAGTCATTGCAGATTCCTATTTCACACACCGACATCAACACAACGAGCAGAAAATGGACAACTGGAAACAACACGAGACTGTTTCTGCACTTTATTCTTCCACTCGTGGCTTCCTCAGCCGGCACATGAAATATCACAAGGTCTAGGGCATACACTTTAACTCAAACACTCAATCTGATCACTTTACCTTTTAGCCGAAATTACAATCCTCCTAATACAAGCACAGTGGAACAAAACAACTGCTTTTCTGACGGTGACTAACGCAGCTGGCAGACATCTTTCCGTCTGTCCTTGCTGTTGGCCAAGTTGGGCGTTAAAACTACAATCATACTCACACATTTTGAATCCACACACATTCCACCGTTGTTCACGCACTCCGTTCCTTGGCCCAAACAAGACTGCTGACCAGCCCTTTCTAAGACATTATCTAACCTTCTAATGCCCTCCGTGTGATTACAACTTCTCCGTGTTCTCAGATTTACACGGATTCCATTTGGCCTGCATTTTCTCTGTGATCCGCGTCAGTTTCATTTGGCCAGCAATTCTTCATGATTCGCATGAAGTTTCATTTGGCCAGCATTTCTCTGTAATTCTCGTGCTGTCCTAGTTAGACTCAAACATTCCATTCACATTTATTAGCTGACGTTGTTCTGTCTGGGACATAATTTATCTAGGAGAAAATGGGTCCACTACAGCCGTCTTTACTTACTAAGACTTGACCTTTACGTATTTAAAGCTCGATCGACCTGGAAGCCAAGGTCTTTTTAGAAAAAAAATTTAAGTAGAGTTTTTTTCGGGTATTATGAGCAGAAATAACTTGAAAGCAAAGTGAGAAGTAGCAAATTTGAATATCTAGTGACAACTGGCAAGCTAGAAAGGAAAAGTGCAACATGGAAAACCAAAGGATATATATATATATATATATCCTTTGGTCTTCCATGCTGAACTTTTCCTGCTTTGCCAAATGGCAAAATTGGAATGAAAATACATACCTGACTGGAGACTGTGGATTGTGTGATATGGTGACCTGTGACCTTAACTGCACGGCACATGAGGGCAGATGCACAAAGCTAGGAGAGTCAGACAGGATAGTGACAATGTATTCACTATGCATGGATCATTATTATGTGTATACTTTCTGACAAAAGCCCTACCACACATGGATTAGCCTCTTTTAATATTTAAGCAGTATTTCCCTGATGTGAATTTGAACAAAGGAGACACAGACAATAGACTGCACAATTTATTGCCTGGCATATTTCGCTGTATCTTGTCAGGTGCATACTACAGTAACAATTGATTAAAATGAAGCAAATAGCTGAATCCTAGAAACTGAAACACAAATTCGAGTACATTCTAAACTGTCTGTTTCACCGAGGTAACCGTAAGGTAACGACCATTTCTTTCTGCCTACAGAGATCTGGTTTCAACCAGCTGATCGTAAATGCTTCCCCATATCGGAGTAATCTACCGTTGGCTGAATTGTACATAATTCGAAATGCATCATCCCTGTTAATGATGTGCCCGGAATTTAGAATATGGCACGCAATTGCTGATGATGGATCTTTTAATATTATTGATCTATCATTGGTTAGCTTTCTTGTGCCATGTTTTACTGTTTGTTTATAACATCTTGGCTTCTGGGCATCTGGCTGGTCTAATTTTGCTCCGTCAGTCAGCCGAGACCCACCTTATGTATCTGTGGGCTCCAGTTCACCTAGAGGACTCATCATCCAACAAAGTTTTATCTAATATTGTTTAGCTACCTCTCTTGTCATTGACAGCTTTTTCTAGCTAGTATTTTTTGACAGATATGTGATTTCTCTTGGAGCAACTTTAGTTAAGTGATTTTTATTAATGCATGTTCGTATTTGTGGTATTGTATATTCATTGAGAGTGCTAATGAAGGCTCTGTGGCTGAAACATCCACCTCTTATTTGTGTTCATGATAATGTCAAGCTGACCAGGTCTGCAGTTAATTTTGTTATCTTTGAACAAATGTGGATCCACAGAAGACACTGCCTGGTGCCAGAGTTAGCGGAGGAGTATCAAACTTTTCCTTCTCCTTCAGAGGAATGGAAGCAGTCAGAGAAGCCATGCACACTGTGTTCCTCTACCACGCTATCAAGGTTGGTTTTGTGTTAACTTGAATTTTAAAAAACGGAGGCATTACATTGCTAGCCTACAAAACTATGTTTGTTGTAATTTTTCAGCTAGCTAAGCCTGAAAGACTTTGTTGCAAGCCTAATCAGTTCTTACTGTATTTGATGCTCAGTTTTTTAGTTTTCAGGGAAAGGTATGCTTTGAAATAACTGTTGTTATGTCTGAAAGGTGTGCTTTGAAATAATTATTCTTATGTCGTAAAATTATGCTATGAAATAACTATTCTTATGTCTGAAAGGTGTGCTTTCAAATAACTATTCTTATGTCATAAAATTATGCTATGAAATAACTATTCTTATGTTGGAAAGGTATGCTATGAAATAACTATTCTTATGTTGGAAAGGTATGCTATGAAATAACTATTGTTGTGTCTGAAAGGTGTGCTTTGAAATAACTATTGTCATGTTGGAAAGGATTTGCTATGAGATAACTATTGTTGTGACTGAAAGGTTTAATATTATAATGCTTTGGTCCCTGTACGGGTTCTGGGGCCATACTCTGGGGCAAAGGGAATAAACCAGCTGCCCCCGACACGCAAATTGGTGGTGTTTTGTTCAAAGATGGAGTGTATCTGCATGAGAGGCAATCAACCAACAGTTTGCATGTAGAGGGGCCATATCTGTAAAATAGATGTGCATGCCAAAGTCAAGTTCTGGAGCAAGATCGAAGTTCAGAAACAGATGAACAACTAAATCTATCTTTCCGCTGGAGTTTACAGCCGGTGAACTTGAAGAGGAGTGGCTGGCCGAGTGCTTGTGATGTTGGGCTGTCATGTGGGATACCTGGGTTTGACCCCCGGTAGAGTGACTTGAGTTTTTCTATCAGGGAAAAAAAACATCCTAACAATCACAGTCCATAGCTAAGGCAGTAGCCTTGCAGCCCTGAACCCTCAGGCTCACAACCCCTCTGACTACACCACTGTAAAAAGTGCTAAATATAGTCACTGTTGACAAGTGGAAGAATATAAAGAAGTTATGTTTTCTAGGTTTTCAGCCATCTTAGTATAGAAGACATGTCAAAACAAGCACGATCTGTTCTTAATGTGTGTGTAGTTTTTTTTTTTTTTTCAATTAACTCTTTTAGTTTCTTGCAAAGGTCTGCCATAGAGCAACTAATGTCAGCTTGCAATCTTCCCCAAATATCCCATTGGTGTGGTTACTAATTTTTATTTCTGGTTTATTGTGAGTGACCGTCTGGCATTACTAGCATAGGTTGGATATGAATATGCATTGTATGAGATGTTTCTTTTTTGCTGGTAGGCAGTGTCTTACCTTGTAATGTTGTGGGGGGACCTCAGTAATCATCATCATGTTATGACATGTACATTGCATAAGGTTTGCAGTGGATTCTTTGTTTCTTTCCATCCTATGCAGTGCTTTCATTTTTGTGGGTGGAATCCATTCCGGCACCTCTAGAGGCTCATCATCATGTTGCATGTCTTTTGCAGAACCTCGTACTGATCAGAGTCTGCCTGAAAGGAACTTGGACTCTTCCCCCCCCCCCCCCCCCCCCCAGCTCTCCTGTTTCATGCACTTTCCTACCCTCGATGTATCTTGTGCCCATCTTCATGCTGGTCATGCCCTGCCCTTCTTTCCTGCTACCATGCCTTCTGCTGTTACATGAGTTGTACCCCAAAGTATTTAAGTTTCAGAGACAAGATGCTGTTTACTAACCAATGTTCCTTAATCTTCAGATCTTTTAGGATATCGGTTTCTTTTCGTCTTTGTCCGTGGTATTCTGGGGATCTTTTGTAGCAGTTCATCTCAAAAGCCCAGATTGTCTTCCTTTAGGATTGCGAGATAGTTCGCGACTCAAATCTGTATGTTCTTAAAAGAAGGAGGCACACTGTTACAGTTGACTTTGATTGCCTTGGTAGTGCTTAACTGTAGACTTGTAATGCTGTTTAATCCTGTGGTGGGCTAACTATCCCAGTTTTTGAGTGAAGCTTTTGCACGGAGTAATTGAATCTCTGTTTCTGGTGTGCAGGCCTGGGATGGACATGGGTATTGTCAATGCTGGAGCCCTGCCGCTCTATGACGACATTGAGCCAGAACTGCTCCAGTTGTGTGAGAACTTGCTGTGGAACAAGGACCCTGAGGGGACAGAGAAGCTCTTAGCTTATGCCCAGGTTTGTAAGATGTGATTTCCTTATGTAGGCTCTGGGGCACCATTTTTAGGAAGGGAGAGGTGAGAAAGGAGAAAGAAAAAAACCCACTGCCTCCCTGAAAACTTGTAAGAGCTGACTAATTGTGGGCATCCTTTAAAGTCAGAGTGAATCTGCCTGAGAGGCAAGGAAATAACAATCTGCATACAAATGATCCAGATCTGTAAAATGGATGTGCAGGCATAACTCAAGTTCTGAAGAAAAAAAGTCCAGAAGTGGACAGAGAACTAGAACATTGCCACAGTTTACAGCCAGTAAGCGCAAAGAAGAAGAGATGAGATGATTTAGTAATGCTTTTGTTCATTGTGAAATGTAAAAGTTCGCATCCGTACTAAGTATAAATAGTCTTTTGTGAAATGTAGCAGTTCGCAGCTGTACTGAGTATATATATATTCTTTTGTGAAATGTAACAGTTCACAGCCATACCGAGTATATATATATATATATATATATATATATATATATATATATATATATATATATATATATATATATATATATAGTCTTATGTGAACTGTAACAGTTCGCAGCCATATCTAGTATATATATATATAGTTGTGGAAGCAGAAGTGCAGGCCTTGATATGTGAGAATTCTTCTGAAGGTGATGTGTTCATCTACACAGAGGGGTCTGTCATTTAAAATGGCAGGAGCTCATGGGCATTTACGACTCAGGTCAAAGGGAGAACTGTCAAACAAGACTGCGGTGCTATGGCTTGACGACAAGCAGTTTGACTGTAGAGGTCATGGCAGTAACTAAAGCAATAGCCTGGCTAGAAACACAGACTTTCACCCGGGCATGCTTTCTCAGCGTCTCAATAAAAATGCTCAAGAAGATCGAGAAGGGTTGTATACTAAGACAATACGTGAAGTCCCTGAATAGATCTAGGCTACAAAAATCAGTTTCAAATTTGTTCCGGGCCATTCTGTAAAGGGCAATGAATGAGCTGACAGACTTGCAAGTGATGCTCATGTGGGAAATGGTCGAGCGGTGGGCAGGGCTGATATACTGAGTGTCCTCAGAGAGGCAGCTCAGTTAAACGAATCAAATAATGATTGTGAATCTGCAACACTGTCCAGACTACACGAACATAACATCAAAAAGGGTCAAGCCAGACAAGAGCGCTACACAGGGACCTAAAGAATAATAGTAAACCAACAAAGAACTGGTGTCATAAGCCACTACACACTGAGGGAGATGCTGAAGGGGGGGTCTGAGCACGTATGGACTCAATGGTTCTATGTGCGATGATGATAATCTGTCAACTAACTAACTAGGCAATTTTACATTGATTAGTTTGCCATTTTTTCTGAATGTTCAGCTCTTGATACTGCTATTGCGGCCAACGCAAGGCGATTTGCTACCAAATCGTCTGCAGTTGGGATCGAACGCAGCATCCTGAAATTATGAAGCACTTTTGCAACGCTAGGCCACAGACACTGGCATACACTCCTTACCACTGAAGAATAGTTATACTGTAACACACCATCTGTGTCATAACAGACAACTAAGGAAGGTTGGCTACCTCATCCCATGGAAAACTTTAGCAACAAGTTGCAGTCAGTCATGGACAAGTCTTCACATGGACTTTATCTGAGTAGGCAGAGAGCCTGTGCTGCTTCTAGAGATGAAATGCAACAGAAACAGCTGTTCTAGCATCAGTAATGATTAGATTCTATTTCCAGAACATGAAACAAGGGGGTAAAAAAAATGCTGCTCAAGAGGATGAATGGAGACAGAAATCTGTTGAGGAAAGATTGTCTTATTCTCTGATAAAGGTAATTAGTTGACATTTTTGTTGTTACTTCTTTCTTTTTGTAGCTCTCCTTCTCTCTCTCTCTCTCTCTCTCTCTCTCTCTCTCTCTCTGTCTCTCTCTCTCTCTCTCATCCTTTCTTGTTTGTTGTTCTTGTCTATTAAAACATTTTGACCACTTCAGTACAAAAACACCATCATCATATCGTGGCACTCATGCCTGTCTACAATCTGCCATCTTCAGCAGAATGTGTCACGCTGTCAAGAATCTTTTCACGTCGTCTTCATTTCTCTTTTTTCCAAAGATCTTTCCATTGGTCACAGTATGTTCTAGTTTCCTTTTTCTCATAGTATGACCCAAAAATTGTGACTGTCTCTTACTGATGTTTGTGATAAATTGTCTTTGAATCCTTGTATCTTTCAAAACAAATGGGTTGCTTTTTTTAGCTGTCCAAGGCATTCTAAGAATTCTGAAAAACCACATTTCCGTGGCCTGAACAAATTGTTCAACTTGTTTATTAGTATTAGTTGTCCATAAATCAGAGCCAAATATTGAAGCTGGCTCCATGTAGCATGCAAGAATTCTTTCTCTATCTTTCAATGACACGGAAAACACCATAGCATATGTAAAATCGGGTGACCCTTTATTCCCTTACCCCACTGTTTTATTTACTAGTAAACCAACACTAGCTCATTGCATGATAACAACTGTAAGTTAAGGATCCTTGTCATGTCATTTGTCACTGAGCATTATTTTATAGATTTAACCTTTATATAGGCCAGTCTGCACTCGATGAGTGATATGATCATTATCATTCCAGATGCTTTTATTTCTTAGCACATTACTTGTTACCCTTTTAGACTGGGTCCACCTGGGAGCCAGTAGGCTTCTGCGGCTTAGGCATTGCAAACATGCTTCATAACTCTGAGCTGCTGGGTTCAGTCCCTTCTACAGGCAATTTGGTAGCAGACCATCTTGTGTTAATTTCAAAAGTGGTATCAAGAGCCGACTGTTTTGAAGCAGTGGCAAACTACTGAACGTACATTAGCCTAGTGAAATCACATAGAGCTAAACAATTAGAGCATGGCTATTCAGCTACTGGCCTGCCAGAGCCTAGGAAGTGGCCCATAGATCCCTGCCAGAGCCTAGGAAGTGGCCCATAGATCCCTGCCAGGGCCTAGGAAGTGGGCCCTAGATCCCTGCCAGAGCCTAGCAGGTGGCCCATAGATCCCTACCAGGGCCTGGGAAGTGGTCCATAAATCCCTGCCAGGGCCTAGAAAGTGGGCCATAGATCCCTTCCAGAAGCCTAGGAAGTGGGCTATAGATCCCTGCCAGGGCCTAGGAAGTGGTCCATAGATCCCTGCCAGAGCCTAGGAAGTGGCCCATAGATCCCTTCCAGAAGCCTAGGAAGTGGGCCATAGATCCCTGTCACTTGTTTGTATTAATGATCTTTCTATGCTGGAGGCGGGGCCTCTGGTCTGTGACCATCCCAGTTTTCAGCATGTTGGTCCCTGAGCTAACTTAGTCTAATAGCCCTACTGTAAAGGATACACAGCCAACAACCTGGGAGCCAAAGTCTGTTTTGAAGACAAAAATCTGCTTTGATGCAAATTTGAGGCTGATTCTTCTTTTTTTTTTGGTCCTACTGCTCATGTGACAGAGTGTCCCAGCAAGGAGTTATCTGTAGTTTCCTGTCTTTTGCTAGTTCTGTAGCTTGTGTTATTGTCATATTTTGTGTTTTTCTAGTATGTTTTACTCACTCCACCCATCTCTTTCTTGGCCAGCCTCTTGCCTTATAGCCTGCTATTCTCATGTAGTGTGCTCTTGCTGCGGGCTGATTTTGTTCCATTGTGACCAGATGGCCAAACCGTTTGATTCTTTATTGTTTTATTACATCATTGACTGGTACTGTGTCTTCTATTGTTCTTAGTTTTTCATTGGTGACTCAATCTCTTCTGGTTTTTCCTGCAGCTTTTCTTATTCATCTCATCTCATATGTTGTAAATTTGTTTTCTAGGGCTGTGTTTGGCATTGCTAGCACAAAGTTAGTACAAACAGCACAGCTGCTTTTTTGTGTGCATGTTGATATTGTGACCCCTCAAAATTAGCCAGCTTAGTAATTCATGTTTTTGGCCTTCTGTATTCAGTTTTTTAGTTTTCTGTCCAATTCTCCAACATTAAGGAATACACTGCCTAGGTACTTAAACTCCTTAGCTTGTTTTAATGTTTCTCCAACATTAATTTCAAGATGGTGGTGTAAACAAGACAAATATTTTCCTTTTCAGGCTAATAGTCAAGCATGTAGCCACTACACTAACATGGCTTCCAGCAACTAGTTTATGTTAAAAGTTAATAAAGAACCATTGATCATAGATGTTAGCTAAAATGTTTTGTGGTTGCCTTCTGCATACAGGGAATAGACAAATACGTTGTTGAAGACACAGAGGAGGCCAGGCAGAATAGTGTGCTTTACCCAAGACCTCTAAATGTCATAGAAGGTCCTCTAATGAAGGTAAGTTTGTTATTAATTCTTTAGACCTCACTTCAGGCACCCAGATGTCACAAAGTTTCTGTGGACATTGTACTGTGATAGTGAATCCGAAAAAAGGTTTTATATCAGCCCTCACAGCCATTACTCCAACAGGACATGGATTATCTAAATTCCAATGCCTCAATCCTTCAAAAGTTCATTGAAAAAGAAATGTTTGCTTATAATTCTGTGAAATTATGCCCTAAGAAGCTAGAGGAAGAGAAGAATGAGCAGAAGGAATTTTGAGTCTTGAAGTTTTTCTAAACATTGAATAGATCGAACTCTTAGATCACTGGGCAGAAAGATCAGTTTGAAGTCTATAGCTACATTGTGGACCCTCAAATCACTAAAATAATTCATATTTTTATTATTAATTTGTGCCTGAAATTTGTTCATAAAGGCTTAATGACTATTAAAAAATGGAGTAAAGAATTAACTGCTTTCTTTCCCTTTGACCACAATAAACTTAGATTATTATGCTGTAATGATGTCACATTTTATTCTATTTTGTGGTGGGGGGGAGGGGTGTTATATTTATTTTCTCCATGTCTACACACTATGCAGTTTCTGCCACTACCGAAGATGTTATGTAGGCATAGTTGCCACAACCCAAACTTTATGTCATCAAATACCCATAAATGTTAGAGAACTTTTTCTCAGGTTGACAGGATTAATTAAGAGATGGAAATTTTGGATAGTTTTTACTTTCTTCTGTTTTCTGTATGTTAGATTTCCTTTCTTCTTTTTTTCTTCATTCCTTGTGTTCCTCTTTATTTCTCATTTAAATTTCTTATTTCTTTTTTCTTTTTATAACTTTTTTAAAAAATTCTTTATTCTTTTTAATCATTTTAGTTTTCCTTTATTCTTCATCTTCAGTATTCTGTTTTATTTTTGCTTTATTCTTCACCCTATGTTTATGTCATTTTTACAAATGTCTATTCCAGGGTATGAGTATTGTTGGCGATCTGTTTGGCGTTGGCAAGATGTTCTTACCTCAAGTCATCAAGTCTGCTCGTGTTATGAAAAAAGCGGTCGGCCATCTTATTCCCTTCATGGAAAGGGAGAGACAGGCAATGATGCTGGCCAGTGGTCTTCCAGCAGACACCGTGAGTGGACAGTTGATTTTAGATTCCGTAACTTCTCGTGCAGTAAAAGGGGTCAGTCTGGTTCTGTGGGCAATGAGATGATGCATAGACAACTATGAATGTTCAAGACATTTTTTGTTTAAAATGTGCCCAAAATATCAATGTCATTTTCTTATTTATATACTGACTTTTAAAGTAATACATATATGTGTTTAGCATTCCAACAAAATTTTCTAAAGGTTTATCAACATTAAGTTTAATTGAGAAGCGTCACAGAGAGGGGTTAGATGTTGTTTCCTATGTTTTGCTGGTTGTATAACTTGTGTAAATGTCATCTTGTTTCTTTAGTGTCTCTTTTACTCCCTCCATCTATCTCTTTCTTGGTCAGTCTCTTACTTTGTAGCCTGTTGTTCTCTTGTAGTACACTCTATCTGCGGGCTGATTTTGTTCCATTCTGTGCTGATGGCCAAACTATTTGATTCTATTATGTTAAATCATTTACTGATAATGTGCCCACCGTTGTTATTTTTTGGTGACTCTGTGTCTTCTTATTTTTCCTGCTACTTAATATTAATAATAGTACAAATGAAATTTATAGTAGAACTTTTGATTTCAGGAGCCAAGTTACCAAGGTACTGTAGTGATTGCAACTGTGAAAGGCGACGTACATGACATCGGCAAGAACATTGTGGCTGTAGTGTTGGGCTGTAACAATTTCAAGTAAGTTCCCGAGGCTACACTTTTATACATTTATCCACATGTCATTCAGAGTTAGGATGTTAGTTCTGGTTTTTTTTGGCACCAACTCATTTTAAAGTTGCTATAATTATTTCTTCTTCTTCTTTTTCTTCTCCTTCTGCATTGACTGTTAAAAGGGTAATTGGCAAATTTTCTTGTGGTTTAAGGTTCGGGAGATATGGGTCAAACACATCAGAATTCATCAACCTTCTAATTAGTCGCCTTTGATGAAATGCTTATTTGTCTTTTTTTTTTATAAGAATTATGTAATGTTATACATTTTATGTTTGAGCATGTTTCTCTCGGCCTCCTTGCCTCTAATCTCTTTTATTTATTTTATAGTTCAGGAGTTTTCTGTTTTACAGCATGTATGTCAGTCATGATTATCTGTAATTTGTTTAGGTAGGATTGCTTAATTATTAGTCTTTTATAGTAGTAGTACATTGTACCCCACCAAGAAGAAGAAGAAGAAGAAGAAGAAGAAATCACACAAACGATAAACACCTGATGACACAAAGTGCCACCATGTGGATGAGGATCACCTGTGGAGAGGTCCCAGAAACCGCGTTCAGTCATTAGGGCATATTTATGGCCAGGCTATATTGCGGCCCCTGGCAAGAGCTAGGGTGGGGCTTCAAAATAAAGAAAAAGGCTGGTTTAGTCTGACTTCTACAGTACAAGAAGACATAAGAGAATTAATTTGAAGATCATAATTGAATTATTCAAAAATTATCACTCTTGCAACCCTTCCTATATTGATGAATTTCTCAATTTCAGAGTTATTGACCTTGGGGTGATGACCCCTTGTGAGAAGATCATTGAAGCAGTCGTCAGAGAAAAAGCTGGTCAGTCAATAATTAGTGTTTAAAATTGTAATTTATTTAATAATTTTTGCAGGTTTGACATTGGATTTAAAAAAAAAAATTTGTAAACACTTTAAACAGTCAGTTGTTTTAAAGTTTTATTTACCAAAATACATTGTCAGACATATAATGTTTTTTTTTTTTTTTGGTGTAAAGTAAAGGAAGTTTTTGAGGACTTTGAAGCAGTGGACATATGGTGCCATACATATATTTTATTCACTAATGGGCACTTGATGTGTCATATAGTCAACATCCTGCTGACTGCCTTTACTTCTATGTCTTTACTTAGGTGTCTATGCTCATTTGTGTGTGTGTTTGTAGGTGTCTGTGCAGCTCTGTGTATGTTGTCTGGGTGTGTTCTATGTCTTTACTTAGGTGTCTATGCTCATTTGTGTATGTGTTTGTAGGTGTCTGTGCAGCTCTGTGTATGTTGTCTGGGTGTGTTCTATGTCTTTACTTAGGTGTCTATGCTCATTTGTGTATGTGTTTGTAGGTGTCTGTGCAGCTCTGTGTATGTTGTCTGGGTGTGTTCTATGTCTTTACTTAGGTGTCTATGCTCATTTGTGTATGTGTTTGTAGGTGTCTGTGCAGCTCTGTGTATGTTGTCTGGGTGTGTTCTATGTCTTTACTTAGGTGTCTATGCTCATTTGTGTATGTGTTTGTAGGTGTCTGTGCAGCTCTGTGTATGTTGTCTGGGTGTGTTCTATGTCTTTACTTAGGTGTCTATGCTCATTTGTGTATGTGTTTGTAGGTGTCTGTGCAGCTCTGTGTATGTTGTCTGGGTGTGTTCTATGTCTTTACTTAGGTGTCTATGCTCATTTGTGTGTGTGTTTGTAGGTGTCTGTGCAGCTCTGTGTATGTTGTCTGGGTGTGTTCTATGTCTTTACTTAGGTGTCTATGCTCATTTGTGTATGTGTTTGTAGGTGTCTGTGCAGCTCTGTGTATGTTGTCTGGGTGTGTAACTGCATGTGTGTCTTTGAATGTGTGTTTATGAGAGTGTGTGTGTGTGACAGTGTGTGTACGTAGGTATGTATGTGTTTGGATGTGTGGGTACATATATGTGTGTGTGTGTGATGAGAGTGTTTACATGTGTATGTGTGTTTGCACGCAAACGTGCGCATTCATTTTACCACCCCGTGCTTTTGTATTTTTGCTTGATATTCGTATGAACATAACATGCTTTATTGATAAAAATACAACTTCTGTGTAAGAATATCCCTTGTACAGACCATTGAGAAGGGAATAACGGCCCGGTGAGTCAACACCACACTCAGAGTTGTATTGAACTAACAGTAAAGTCTTCAAAATAGTAAATGTTATCTTAAAAAACTCAGCAGTCAATGAAAATCAGAGAGCAATCACAAGAAGAAGAAGAAGGAACCATGATGGCACAGTTGCTAGGTGTTGTTTGTCTGTGTGTAGATGTTGTTACTGTATGTGGTTTTTGTCTGCGTAGGTGTATTAGGTCTGTGTATATGTGTTATGTCTGAGTATGTGTTCTGTCTGTGATTGTGTGTATGCCTATTCACATTGTGTTTCTTCGTGTGTGTAAGGGTGGTTTGTGTCTGCGAAGCTTATTTTTGCATGTAAATTTGAATGTATGTACGCATTTGTCATCCATGCCTTTGAATTTTTAATTTACATTTACACAGTGAATTTTGATATATGAGCATAATATGCTTGATATATAAAATACCACTGTCGAATGAAAGATGAATGCTGGGAAGGGTCAAAGGTTAGACGGGCCTGTAGGCTCTGTTAAACCCCTTTGGAAATGAAGTTTGTTTCTTCGTTCATTTTGCTAGGTGGTCACTTGTTAAAATCACTCTCCAGGAAGGGGTTTATTTTGTTTTTTACATTGTCTTAGACTTCCTAGTTAGCCCACCCAAGAAATGTTCTAGGAAGAAAAGGCAACTGGCTTGATGTTGGTTACATACCTCATTTAGTGCCAGTTGGTCTTTTATGTATGGAATACTGCTCAAGGTATGGAAGAGGACTTGTTACTTTACTTTCCATATCCCCAGTGGGAAAGGGTCCTTGACTTTAATATTTTGTTTTGTTTATTTATCTTTGCCGTTACTTGTTTTGTTTTACTTTTGTAAACTTTACTTTGTTTTGTTTTACTTTTGTAAACTTTACTTTGTTTTGTTTTACTTTTGTAAACTTTACTTTGTTTTACTTTTGTAAACTTTACTTTGTTTTGTTTTACTTTTGTAAACTTTACTTTGTTTTGTTTTACTTTTGTAAATTTCACTTTGTTTTGTTTTACTTTACTTTTTTTAAATCTTTGCTTTGATTTGCTTTACTTTACTTTAAATTGTTTTGTTTTGCTTCACTTTGTGTAACTTGTTTTATCATGGATACAGAAATATGTTCTTCAGATCACATTGTCTCATTCTTAAAGAGCTAATTTTCATTTAACTGACTTTTATTTACACCCCACACAAAAAACTGTTTAGAAAACCCTTCTAGCTTACCATGCAGAAGGCATAGCAGCTAAAACAAAAAGAAAGAAAAGTTGTAAATTTATAAATGCCTTATCAAAGTTTAAAAAAAAAAAAAAAAAACCAGTTAAGACAGATTTCCACTGCTAACTCCTTTTGAATTTTTCAAATAACTTTCAGATTTTGTTGGACTGTCTGGACTGATAACCCCATCTCTTGATGAAATGATTTTTAACGTAAAAGAGTTTGAACGAGTTGGATTGAATATTCCAGTTCTGATTGGTGGAGCTACAACATCAAAGTAAGTTTCTCTATTGTGGGCCTGGATCTACATGTGCTTTGTTGCAGGACACTGTAGTAATCATCATCATGTAGCAGGTCCTTTGCAGAATGTTGCTCTTGTCACAGCCTACTTGAAAGAAACTCGCTTTCCCACCTTGCACACTTTCTTACCCAAGATCTTACTTATATCCTGTGCTCATCTTCATGCTGGACAGCCTGCCCCTTTTTCCTGGTACTGTACTCTCTGCTATTATTCTTATAAATCCTCTGTGGCACTTGATAGGGCCAAAATATTTCAGTTTCTGAGACAAGATGCAGTTTACTAGCCAATCTTTCTTGAAGTTCAGATCTCTTTCCAGTTGGTGGCTCACAGGTGTCTGTATGAATTGGTGACTCACAGGTGTTTGTAAGTGTGGGTGACTCACAGATGTTTGTATGTCTTGGTGACTCACAGGTGTTTGTAAGTCTGGGTAACTCACAGGTGTTTGTAAGTCTGCCTGTATATTATCTCTGTTCCATCTTCTTTTTCTCTCTGGCGATCTTCTCCCATTCCTTTTTTGTTTACACAGTTTTTATCTCTCTGTTATCTGCCATTCTATCTATAAGCCCCTAACATTAGCAGTCTAGTAGCCGTCATAATGCCAGCAGTTGATGGTGATTTCAACAGTCTATGAATTTCATTGTTGCTTCTCACTCTGTATTTATCTACTGTTTGTGCATTTTTTATGGCAGATTTGTTTTTAGATTCTATTCTCAAAAGGTTATAATAAGACTTCATCTCCTTTAGTTTGTAATAGGACTGAATCTCCTTTAGCTGTATGCCAGGTTTCAGAGCCATAGATGACAATTGCTCTTATCAGTGTTTTCTTTTAATCTCGACATTATAAGATAAAACATTTGATTTTAGTGGATGTTAGTATACATTATTTCAAAGCTATTTTATAGATTTCTTCTCTTAGTACGTTGGAGTAGTTACCCAAGCACTTATATTTCCTTAGTATCCTATTCTCATTATGCCAGGTTCCTGTGTGGGCTCCGGGGCCCCATTGTGAGAAAAACAGGAATAGACCCACTGCCTCTGTAAACATTCATGTCGTAGGAGGGGACCAGTTGTGGGGCATGCTGCGAAGTTGGAGTACATCTGCCTGAGAGGCAAGGAACCAATAGTCTGCATACAAATAAGCCGGATCTATGAAATGGATATGCATGCAACACTCAGGTTCTGGAACAAGAGACTAAAGGTGGATGAACACCCAGAACTTTCCACCGGTTATTACAGCCAGTGAACATGAAGAAGAACAATTATGCCATGTCTTTATGAAAACTTGAAGCCCTAAAAATGGGTCATGACATATAATATGATTTATGATTTCCTCATAGTATGTTTTTTGCT